TACCTGTGCCTGTTCAAGCCTTCTTTCAAATTCCTCTCCACACGGGATATGTGAACTCACATGTCTCATTGTTGTGGTGCCTCTGGACTGTAAGTACACACTGACTTATGTAGGGAATCAAATAGTGATATTTTTATTTGTAAAAATGAGAGTTTAGAATTTTAGGTGTTGTTTACAGTCAAAAGGAAGAAAAATGCCAGGCACTGGTGGCTTATGCCCATAATCCTAGATACTCAGGAGGCTAAGATCAGAGCATCGTCATTTGAATCCAGCCCAGACAGGAGAGTCTGTGAGACTCTTCAATTAATCACCAAAACAACAGAAGTGGAGCTGTGGCTTAAGTAGTAGAGTACTAGCTATGAACTAGCTCACAGGGACAGTGCCCAGGCCCTGAGTTCAAGACCTAGGACCTGTACAAGAAGATGGAGGGGAGAAGGAAAGAAGGAAGGGAAGGAGAAGAGAAAGAAGGAAGGAAAAAACGAGGGAGGGAGGGAAAAGAAAGGGGAAGGGAGAAAAGCTTGGGTTTTAGCCTTGGCCTAACCCTGTGCTGGTATAGTTTGAGTGAATTGGAGAAGTAGGATGGGAGAGCGTCCATGGATCAAACCCAAGGACTCATAGGTAAGCAAGGTAAGCATGACTCTACCATCTCAGTTTATTTATTATTATTTTTGCCAGTCCTGTGTACACATGTGTACACACATCACATTATAACAAATAAAACTCCACACAGTAATGTATACAAAACCAACCCACAGAACTTTAGACTGGTTCCCAATGTGCCAGGTAAGGAGCTCAGAACCTTTGTTAAAAGAGCTGAACAACCTTCACTTAAATACCACCAATTCTTAGATCTGCTAGAGAACTGAAGTCACAGATCAAACCAATGCCCTAAAACTGGAGAGAAGAGTCAGGTACATGGCATGTTAGAACATAGGTCAAAAAAATCTAGAAGCAAAATCTACCCAAGAGCTAGTATCAGAGTAGGAAAACCAAAGCTACAAATGACATTATTAGAGACATAGACAAGTCTGAGAACTAAAAACACCAGGAGTTCCTGTCTCAGAAGGCCTCAACACTTGTTTTACCTCCAGGAGACTTATCAGTTCTCTCAGTGAAGTCTGAGGAAAAATCCCTTTCCAGCTGAGAAGCAGAATTTTGAAATGTATCCAGACCATTCAGTTCTTATCAAGAGAAACTGTCTTTTCATAGCCTAACATAGAGTTTTATCACCATAATTGGTGTACAGATGATGTAAATACCTACATCCACAAGCTTAGGAAACACTTGTAAAAAAAAAAAAGTCTCTGCTGAAGGGAACAGACTTATTAAAAGACTGGGACCTAAATATGGGGTTCTGGAATACGTCCCCTCTCCACACATATTACCACCACAACACTAAAGCCTTACTTATGTACTTAGTACATCCTGTCTGGCTTTTACCAAAAAAGTTACAAGGCATAGTAAAAAAGCAAAAAGAAAAAAAAAGGCAAAAAAGCAAAATAAAAACAACAGAAGACCACACAATAGTTTGAAGAACCAGAGGAAGTGTCAGAACTGGTCTGGCAGGGATGTTAGAATTATCAGACAGTAATTTAAAACAGATGTGATTAATATATGTTAAGAATTCTATGCAAAAAGTAAGTAACATGCAAGAACATACGGGTAGTGAAAGAAGTATTATGGAAATACAATCACAAAAATGCTAGAGATGGAAAATCTGTAACAGAAATGAAAAACACAAGCCAGGCGCCAGTGGCTCATGCCTGTAATCCTAGCTACTCAGGAGGCTGAGATCTGAGGATCACGGTTCAAAGCCAGCCCAGGCAGGAAACTCTGAGACTCTTATCTCCAATAAACCACTAGAAAACCAGAAGTGGTGCTGTGGCTCAAGCGGTAGAGCGCTCACCTTGAGCTGAAGGGCACAGGGAAAGTTCCCAGGCCCAGAGTTCAAGCCCCACGACCACCACCACCACCAACAACAAAAAAAAAAAAAGAAAAAAGAAATGAAAAACATCACTAATGGACTCATCTGTGGGTCATGTTGCTGGTACAGCAAGGGCTGTACCACTTGAGCTACATTTTTCAGACCTGTAGTTTTCAAATAGCATCACTTTTTGCCCAGGCATGCTGGGGCCTACTTATGTCCTATTTATGTTTCCTGCAAAGCTAAAGAAACAGTGTGCACTGCTCACCCCACCATTTTTATTGACTGAAATGGTGTCTCATAGACTCTTGCCTGGGCTAACCTCAAACTATAGTCTTCTTTATCTCAGCCTCCCTAGGATTTTAAGTATGAGCTACAGCACAGCATCTGACTCACTGATGGCCTCTTTAGTAGATTGGGCACAACTGTGCAAATACAGTAATCTGTGAGCTTCAGGTTACATAGAAAATTTCCAAACCAAAGCCTAGAGAAAGAGAACTGGAAAATAATACAGGAGTATCTAATAATCCTGGGACAACTACAGAAAGTGCAACATATGTGTTGTTGGTTGATACCAGAAAGAAATGAAGGAAATATAAGAAATAATTTCAAGCAGTCATGAGTAAAGATTTCTAAAATTTAATGCCAGACACCATGCCAGACATGCCAGATACCACAAGTCCAGGAAACTTGGCAGACACCCGCAGAATAAGTGCCCTAAACCACAGACTTAGGCAGCCCTATTCAAATAGCAGAATATGAAAGGTAAAGAAAACATTGGTAAGCAGATGTGGGAAAACTGCCTAACCTACAGAGGAGGAAGGAGGTAAGTTACTTCAGACTTAAGGAACAATGCAAGCAAGAAGAGAGTATAGGTTTCAGCCTGGGGCATTAAGGTGCTATAAACCTAAGTGTGTAGGATTTTGTGAATGCGGTTGTTTTTTTGTTTTTGTGTTGTTTTTAGGACAAATGCTCAGGAACATTGCTAGGTTTGGTTCAGTCATGGTTACATGCCAAATGTTTTACAAAACTGATAAACAGAGTGCCTAGACCAACAGTTAAGACTTTCGGAGTATATTAGATATTTCTATACTCTCTTTCAACTTTCTGTTAGTCTATAATTATTTCAACACTAAAACTTAAAACCCTTGTTTATTTGTTAAATGACAGTGAATGTCACTATGGTATTTAGATCCCAGAGGATACACACAAAAAAAGTGAAGGAATACTTTGTAGAATTCTAGAAACAACATGCTTCTCTACTGTTTCAACTTAGAAAAAAAATCAGATGATAACCTACATATGTGGAAGTCCGTGGTCCCCCTGAATTCTGTTAAGACAGATAAAGCTTACTTACATTTATAATGAGCCTACATGAGGACAATCTGTTGGTGGTCATGGGTAATTTTTCAGGGACCTATGTGTTTCTGGCATTTCAGTGTTTGAGGTTTTGCCCAGCAGTAGCAGGTAGAGTCTGTCTGCTCCTCCCGCTCACATGTGAGTGAGTGGGAGGAGTGAATTGCCAAGTATACATGAGTGGAAGGCTGTTTCTTCACCCTGGAGGCTTTTCTTGCCTCTGTGTGACACTGACAGGTGAATGTTTGTTCATCATGTGGGTAAATTACATAAAAGTTACCATTTTAACCATTAAAAATGTAAAATTAAGTGGCATTAAAATAGAATGTACAGCCATCACCATCCATTTCTAGAACTTTTCATCAGCCCCAGCAGAAACTGTATTCACTGAACAGTAATGCTACGTTAGCAACTTTCCCCATTTCCTTGGAACCTCTAGTCTATCTTTTTGCTTCTTAATTTTCCTGTTGTAGTTACTGCATGTAAGTAAAACCAGAGTATTAATCTTTTTGTGTCGTATCTTCCGTTTCGCTTAATGTCTTTAAGGTTCATCTGTTATGGCTTGTGTCAAATTGATCTTCCCGTTTGAAGCTGGATCACACCATATTGTGTGTATATTACACATTATCCATTCTAGTATAGATGTTTGGGTTTTTTCTACCTTCGACTATTGTCAACAATGGTTGACAACAAGAACATTGGTGTTTTTGCTTTAAATTCTGTGCATAGGAGTATAATTTCTGGATCACATAACTCTATATTCTAATGTTTTTGAGGAATTGCCAAACTTCTCTATAATGGCTGCACCAATTTACAAACTTGGCAGCAGTGCATTCAGATTCCAATTTCTCTATATCCTTACCAACATTTCTTTTTCTTTTCAATGTCTTGGGGCTGAGGGCACAGCTCCAGGGGTAGAGTGTTCATCTAGGCCTAGCATGGTCCTATGTTCAGGCCCCAGTATCACATAGCCACACAGTAGCCCTCCCACTTAGGTGTATGGTATTGTCTTTCATTATAGTTATGATGTTAAGCGATTTTTCATGTTCTTATTGACCATTTGTATATCTTATTTGGAGGATTTTCCTTTGCCCACTTTTGAATATGGCTGTTGGAGGTTTTTTTAATGATCACTGAATGATTTTAGCATCCTTTTTGAAAATTACTTAAAAATTAGGTGAAGGTTTATTTCTGGGCATTATAGCAGCAGGTAGATGAAAATTCAGCCTAAGCGGATTTCTTAGCTGGTTGATGACTGTGCCCAGAGAGGGTGGATGCCATACTGAAGGGAAGGCTCCACGCTAAGAGTTCCCTCTGTTCGATGTGGTCCTGACTGCTCCTTTGTGGATTTGAAACCTAGAGGAGGTGAGGGGCAGAAAGGAGGAATGACAATAGGCCTGGAAGGTCTGGACCTGAAATGGTAAAAAGGATTATGATGACTGCAGCAAGAAGCAAATGCTTAGAAAGGCTTTAGAGCTCTATTGGCCTGTGTCCTGGGACTAAAGAGGGCACTGAGCTGACAGAACTGACCCCTTCCAGAGGTCAGACCAAAAAGGAAAGCAGTCAACTTGCTGTGTTTCTAAGAGACACTGTTTTAGAATATAATATTTGCCCATCCTCAGTGGTTAGCAACTGTCACCTAGGTAGAAGGGAAAACTTGACTTCAGTTCAAGGGTTTTCTGCTGTTACTGATACATTTTACCTTTCCTGTTCTTTGCAGGTTGCTTGATAGGGGCTGTGAACCTCAAGTCCAGCAACCGAAACCCAGTGGTACATGAATTTGAAAGTGAGTACAGAGAGTCATTGTGAAGGGAATGGGCACCCACTAGTGGACATTGGATAGTCTTGCAGCCAACTCAAGACAGGCTCCCCTATCTATAGCAAGCCACCGATGTGTGGGGTGGCCACTCAGTGGCTGGTGTGTGTATGTCCATGAAGCTGTGAATCAGCAGGCCATCAATGTACAGGTGTGTAGTGGTGAACATCTGTTTCCTGCCTGGCTTTGTGCTTACACAACAGAGAAATCTCATATGAAATAGAGAGGGTGTACTCTGTGTGGTAAAATCCTTACTAATGTCTGGTGCTTTTTTTGTTTTGTTGTTTTGGCAAAAGTCTTACCTTTTCAATAATCAGCTGGAGCCTAGTAATGGCTAACTTTGCAATCTGTGTAAAAGCCCTCTTCAAAGCTAGGTACCAGTGGCTCTTGTCTATAATCCTAGCTATTCAGGAAGCTGAGATTGTAGAATCTCCAGTCAAGTGAGCTTGAGCAGACAAATCATTAAGACTCTTAACTCTAATCAGCAAAAAGCCAGAAGTGGACCTTGACTCAAGGGGTAGATTGCCAACCTTGAGCAAAAGAGAAGAAAAGGCAGAGCAAGCATCTCTGAATTCAAGCCTAGTACTGGCACAAAACAAAATTCTTCAACTAGAGATAGTTGGTAGGGAAGGACCTAGACATACAGAGAGCCCTGAAAAGTTCCCCACTTACCAGTGTTCTTTTACTCCCTTTGTTTATTAGATGTGGAACTTTCTTGTATCATTACGGACTCACAGACAAATGACCCTAGAATTGAATGGAAGAAAATCCAAGATGACCAAACCACCTATGTGTTTTTTGACAACAAGATTCAAGGTATGATCCAGTAGTTTGCTGTGCCTGCTGAGCTCTCTTGTCTACAGCCCACACATGTACTTGTGGCAGGAAACTTAGCCTGCTAGCCTGAGGCTCTAGCCAAGACAGTTTGATTTTCTGAATTTACTATTACAGAAAATTTCAGCCATAGGCAGAAGTGAGGATTCTATGTCACTCAGCTTTGACAAACAACAGTTCATTACTTTGGGCTTGAATCTAATGGCAGCCCAGGTCTCTGAGAAGTCACAGTGAACAGTCTCCCCAGTCATCTTATTGTAATTTCAGTAGTGAGGCCACAGGGGCTTGTTGAGCACTACCATATCCTGGGTTGTCACGGGATATGGTAGTTCTAGTTCGCAGGGAGCTTACTTTTTTTTATAAGGAGATACTGAGGCATTGATTGTAGCCCCAGAAAAGACTCTCTTCAGGTGTCAAGATACCTCTGAAGAGGTTTTGTTAGTGCCTTGCCTTCTTTTCAATAGGGGACTTGGCTGGTCGTGCAGAAATATTGGGGAAAACTTCCCTGAAGATCTGGAATGTGACACGGACAGACTCAGCACTTTATCGCTGTGAGGTGGTTGCTCGAAATGACCGCAAAGAAATTGATGAGATTACCATTGAGTTAATTGTGCAAGGTAGGAACTCATGGAAGGTAAAGCATTTTTAGGATGTCAGGCCCCGGGAGTCTCTAGCTCTAGAGTAAGAGGTTGGTTCTTACTTTGATCTCTTTCCTTCCAGAGCTGCATTCCTTGGTATCCCGTGACTGTGGGAGGGGAGCTCCTGAGGCTGAGGCCGCCAGAGCTGGGTGGGAAGTGAGAGCAATAGCACTTCTGCAGCGCTCCTCAACAGCGGGAGGGTCCTGACTGCTCTAGCACACTCTCCATTGCCCCCTACTGATGGTGGAGGGATTGGAAATGTGTGAGATTGAACATGGGGTGGGATGAGCAGGCAGTGTCTGCAGTGCCCCACCGTGCAGAAGCCCTGTGGCTGGCTCCCTGGTCCTTGGAGCTGATCTGTTACAGTAGACTTTGGTAAAAAATAAAGCCATGTTGCTGAGATTTTAAACACAAACCTGTATTTTACCTGCAGTGAAGCCAGTAACCCCTGTGTGCAGAGTCCCCAGGGCTGTGCCTGTAGGCAAGATGGCGACACTGCAGTGCCAAGAGGGCGAAGGCCATCCCCGGCCTTACTACAGCTGGTATCGCAATGATGTACCGCTGCCCACAGACTCCAGAGCCAATCCCAGATTTCGGAATTCCTCCTTTATCTTGAACCCTGAGACAGGCACTCTGGTAAGGTCTCTCTTGGTGAGGGTGGATGGGCCTTTGTCAGGACAAGGGGTACTTCTGTGGAACCGTGGCTAAGGAGAGACTATGCAACAACTTTGTAAGACAGGAGCTAAAATCTAGAACACCAGATATTCTACAGAAAAAAAAATGGCCCTTCTTGCTTATAAACATGCTAAGGGAATAACCTAAGGGAAGAAAACCTAGAGTTAAAAGACTAAGGAGGGCTATTAAACAAATGTTATGGGTGGACATTATTAGAGCCCTTATTCGGATAATCAAATCATTAAGAGTCAATCAGGGAAATTTGATAACTGGATAGATATTTGATATTAAGTGACTGTTAATTGCTTTGGGCATGGTAATTTATTTTGATTATGGTGTTTAAAAACCCTTGTCTTCTAGAGATATATACTGAATTATTTATGGAATTTGTTCAACATAGTCCAGTAGTGGGGTGGGGGGCGCGCTGCTGTATGGAAAGAGGAAATAGATTGGCCACACAGCAGTGGACAGGCTAGCTTCACCAAGGCCACTGCAGGCTTCTCTGCATATAGTTCTCAACAGGGAGATTTTTGGTCCATGGAATACCCAACTACCTGTGTACTTAGGCATAATAGGACTCAGTATTTGTGAGCTACATTGTGGCTTGGGGAAGTTGTTCAGCCCTTCATAAATCTCAGAAGGTAAAATGAGACCACCTGTCCACACGTGAAGGGGTTTAGTGTCAGGAAGCTCTGAAGCAGGAGTGTCAGGAAAACATGGAGAGGGGTATGGGAAGGTAGACAGGATGATGCTTGCTAAGTCATTGGGAGGCAAAAAGCAAGTAAGTCTGACCATGTGCAGGACCTCAGATGGCAGAGCCTAAGAGCTCTGCCCTGTGGGCTGACTCCTTACTTCTTTCACTTCCTGAAACAGGTTTTTAGTGCTGTTCACAAGGAGGACTCTGGGCAGTACTACTGCATTGCTTCCAATGAGGCAGGCTCAGCCAGGTGTGATGAGCAGGAGATGGAAGTCTGTGAGTTTTTTGTTTTTTGAATGAATTTTACTGGGACACTGGGTAGAGTAGAACATTTAAAGTTAAATGATAGACCATCAGTTTAGGTTATTGCTCTGCCCACTGCCAAGCTTTCTTCTGCTGCTGACAGGATCCAGCGAAATCTACTGGGGAAGTGAAAGCACCAAGCACATAAATGGATCTCCAGAACAGACTTCACAAAGTCTTCTGTGTTAGAAACATGGCATAGTTAAGCATGTAGCTTTCAGAGTGGGTTAAACTCCTATTCTTTGGTAATTGATAGAACCATTGAAACACAACGCTAGAAGTTTGTCCATTTATAGTAACTATTTTTCAGGAAACGAAAGGAACTTTTGCCCCAATACTTTGATCATAATCTATGATGTCACCTTGAGGGCACTGGTTCTAAAGTAGGTATTGAGAGGAAGAGGCAGTAGATTAGGGGGTCCTGACCCATTGGGAGAGTTTCTTGGACTCTTCCCTGTTGCACACACCTGGAGAGGTATTTTCCAAAATGGCTTGATGATTAGAACCGTTTAGATTATTATGTACAGATCCTAGCGCCCACTGCAGACCTGTAAGAAATGTCTGTACAAAACAAGTGTTCCAGGTGATTCTTCTCATCTGTGAAATCTGAGAAACTACTCTATGATGATTTTCTCCTGAAGGAAAGTTCCTGAGTTGGTCAGTTTCCTGTATGTTTTCCCATGTATTTTTTTGTGCATAAATAGGTACTCATGTCACCATAGCAAATAATCAACCAAGCACCTTTATTTGGTATAAATAAATTGGTAATTGGAATGCAAGTTAGGGGCTTCCTAGACATGTGGCCAATGGAATAAAAGGTTGAAGCTGTCACTATTTTTACTTTTAAAATAATGATTAATATAATTTTGTTATTAAGGCGTTGTATAGAGGTGTCACAATTATGCAAGTCTAGTAATGACTACAGTTCTTGCACAGTGTCACCCCTTCCTTCACTTGCTTCTTGTTTCCGTCTCCTACCTTTGTCTACAAGTTGCATAGTTCATTTTTTACATAGTATATACTGGATACCATGACTGTATTTGTTCACCCTTCCTCCCTCCATCGTTTTGCCCTTCCTTGTACCCACCCCCTCCCCCCAAAAAAGAAATCACTATTTTCTTTTTTTTTTTCTTTTTATTGTGAAAATACTGCACTATTTTCATTTTTAAGGCTTGAAACTTTCTTCTCTCAAGTAATCCACATCAATTAGGATTTTTCAAGTAATCCACATCAATTAGGATTTTTTTTCTTCCTTAGAGCTTCTGACTCCTAATTTTTCATATACTGTAACCATTTTCTCCATTACCAATATTCTCAGACATTTATCCCAGAGCATATTTAAGCCTTTCATGTAATTCCAAACCTCCTTGATATAATTTAACTGTAGTAATATCAGGGTTTATGGTGCCCTGCAGGGTCTAGGCAAGATTTAATTTACTCTCTGGGCTAGGAGAGGCATGAGGGGGCAGAGAAACAGATGAAAGGGGGAAAGGAAGTGGATGGTAAGAAGGGAAGGATGGCTGGTTATTCTTTTTAAGGGATGGTGCACATCATTTCTCCCCACAAACCTTTTCTGCAGATGACCTGAACATCGCTGGAATTATTGGAGGAGTTTTGGTTGTCCTATTGGTTCTGGCTCTGATAACGTTAGGCATCTGTTGTGCATACAGACGTGGCTATTTCATCAACAATAAACAGGACGAAGAAAGGTGAGCCTGCCTACCTGAAGGTGAAGTTCAGGCTGGTGTTAGTATGATACCCACAGCACTGAACTGCTGCCCCCTTCTGTTCACAGTTACAAGAGCCCAGGGAAGCTGGATGGAGTTAACTACATCAGGACAGATGAGGAGGTAAGAGAACTGAACAGGCAGCATGTAGGAAACTGGCAGTGTGGGTGCATCCAGTGAAGAGAACAAACATTCCTGCTTGGAAACCCAGCAGCCTTGTATGAGTAGTCCTTGTTTTACACACCAGTGAAACCCACACTTCCCACAGTCTAATGGATGACACTGCTTCTCTGCTTTAATCTGGCCCCTAGCTTCCTCCTTGGGGATATTTTCCCTTTCCTGCCACCTCACTAGGTTCATGGATTGGTTCTAACTTTGCATTGCCTTTGCAGGGTGACTTCAGACACAAGTCGTCATTTGTGATCTGAGATCAGGCGATGTGACAGAGCACATGCAAATACCTCTACCCCTGAAGGCAGCCGTGAGCCACGTGCACTCGGACAGAGCTAGACACTCATGCAGAAGCTTTTTATTTTGGCCAAAGTTGACTGCTACTTCTTAACTCTTTAACAAGCCTCACAGAAAAAAAGAATCTTCCTCAAAATGGGCACAGTAACCACCAGGACAGGACACAGATGGACATCACTATTGAGCTCCCAGTATGTTGCCAGCCCAGTTTTCATGAGGGTGTTAACTAGGATCACCGACATCAGCTTTCCTTGGCTGATGAACACCCACTTGCTGTTCATGTTCAGCATTGGCCGAGGGAGCAGACAAGGTGGCTGAGCAGTGTTGGCAGCAATATTGAGCACCACAGGAAGCCCAGGGCCTTGACTTCCCGCTCTGCCTGGGAAAGGATGTGCATGCAGTGCTCACTCTGTGAGCCCTGACCCTACTGTGCTGTATTTCCTTAAGGCCTTGGCGGTCAGAGTTCTGTCTTGAAAAATCTTTTGGGATCGGCATTTTCCAAAAAAACCATTATCAGGAAGATAAATTGCTTTCTGGATGAGGGCTCTGCTTACCCCAAGGAAAACTGCTTGTCCAGAGTATCAGGATTTAAGAAAACCTTGTCTTAGGCCAAGTCTGAAATGGTACTGAAGTATGCTTTTCTATGGGTCTTGCTTATTTTATAAAACTTTACATTCTAAATTTTTGCTAAAGATGTATTTTGATTAAAAAGAAAATTTCTATTTAAACTGTAAATATATTGTCATACAGTGTTGCAAAAGCTATTTTTTTTAAGAGTTCAACTTACTATGTTAAATTGGAAAATACCAATAATTAAGTTTTATAACCAAGGAATTCTCCTCTCAGAGGTTTACTAGTACATTCCTTTGTCCATTAAAGTTTAAACATTTTCATGAGAAAATTTATGCTGTCTGTATAGCAGACCACTGTTGCTTAAAAAGCCTTTAAAAAATTCCAGTCTAGCAATGTTGGTATCTGCATCTCTCCAAAAGAAACCCTGGGACCCTCAGGTTGGCTTTGAACAGCCTCTTCCTGAGATCAGTAAAACTGCCTATACCCAAAGACTGCCAGAGGCCTTAGACATGTGTACATGCCCACATTGGTGGCTAGTCCACGCCACCGTTCAAGTCAGTTTGGGCCACTAACTCAAAAAAAAGTGTCAGCCAGAATGCCCTCCTCCACTTCGCAGTTGTGACCGTGCTTCTTCTCTCAACTAACTCTAGTAGTGTTGTCAGTGGGCTCAGCAGTGCTTGGAGGGTCTCAGGCGGTATCCTCCATGGGTTGCCCAGCCTGCAGCTTCCTGTGACACCCTCTTTTGGTTATGGATAGCTATGAATCAAAGCAGTCACTGCCATTTGGTTTTTAGGTTCATTTCCATTATTTGTTTAGTCAGAAAGACTGTAGGGCCAAGGCAAATTTGAAATAAAAGCTGTCAACTACAATAATATTTTTCAAAGAAAACAAACCTCCTGGCCTTGAAGAAAGCACTCAACCCTATGGGTTGTGTCTCCTCCTTAATAAGCCATTGTGGGACAGGCGGTCCAGCCTTTTGAAGATTACCAGGAAGTGCACTCATGCTAGAAAAGTAGAACGCCTGAACCAAAAGCAGTTTGCTAATTTTGATTCTAAATCTTTTTATCTACCTGAGACACTGCTCACTTTGTGGGGAACATTAGAAACATCATTCAGAAGCCTTTGTTCTTCAAGAGCAGATGTCTTCAGCCTCAAAACACATGCAAGATGTGAAGTGGTTTGAAGCCAGAAGCTTCTGAAAGGAGGAGCATCCAATTCCTTGTGTGCCCAGGGATGGGTTCATGTAGAATGTAGTCAACCTTGTGATTTATCTTCCAGTGTCTTAATTTTCTATACTTCCACTGTTGTTTTTCATTGAATGCTTGAGACATGTTGACTTTTATGAGTTCTGTGAAATGCTTGTGATGAGATGCTGGCAGGAGCAGCAATTCCGCTCCCCTGGTGCCTGTTTTCTCTTGACTAGCTTAGTGAAGACCACCCCCTCATTTGCCCTCTTGAGGCAGCCCCCCCATCTGATGGTTGGGGTTTGCTAACCTCCCTTATACCAGAAAGCCTTCAGCCACGGGCTGTGGGGCTGGGGCCTGATGCAGTGTGTGAGCCTGGGAAGCAGTGACCGAAGCCACAGAGAAGGAGCACTCATGTCTTTAGCTTGTGCCTCTTTAGGAAGAGGCCTGGGCAGGCTGCTCTTTTGGCCTGTGGTATGGATATTGTATATAGTTGTTATAGACTTGTACTAATGCACCTGGTATTTGTTAAAGCCTCATTTATAAAAAGCTTTTCAAAAAAATCCAATTCCAAATGGTTCTTTCTTATTTGTGCTCATGTTGGATTTACTGTCTTCTTAGTATTTTGCTAAGCAATTACAATGAAGAGGTGTTCTATCACTGTCGACAAGGAAATGAATACCTGACTGGAACCAAGTTTGTCCACTCGAGCAACTTTGTGACTTACTCCATCAATGATGAGGACATTTGTGTCAGAGTTTATTTATGGGAGAGGTATGGGTGAAACACAGAGACTTTCCACCTTCCAAACCCAACTACCATATACGCATGCTAACATGCATACTTGAGGCTGGGGTATAGTTCAGTGGTAGAGCATGCCTAGTGTTCATGAGGCCCTGTGCTCTATCCCCAGCCTTTTGTGTGTGCTTGGGGGTGGGGGAGGGGAAGATACTGCAAGTTTAAAAGAAAAAATTTAACACTAAGTCTACTTTTGCTTCTGTAATACTGGACTCAACAAAATAAGGCTGAGGACCTAGCTTGTGTAGAGTACTTGCCTAGCATGCACAAGGCTTTGGGTTCAATCCTCAGCATTGCAAAAAATAAAAAGAACCAGCAAGACATAATGACATACACCTGTAGTTCAGCTTCTTGAAAGGCCAAGGCAAGAGTTCAAGACCAGCCCGAACAACAGAAGTGAGACCCTGTCTTCCATGTAGTTATCTTAACTACCAGTGAAAGTCCTTTTCTGACACCAGAAAAACTGTAGTGAATGCTACAAGGCTGTATTTATTCTTAACTTTTATTATCTCAACTTAGAAAGCTGTACACTTCTTTTAAATCAGCAGTTATAAATAATAGAAAAAATAATACATTCAAATTTTTGTCAATGGATTTGGGAAAATATGTACTATAAGGAATTCAAACAAGCTAATAGAAGCTTCATTTATATAAAAGAAAGCTGCACTTTAAGTTGTATTCCTGAAAGACCAGATTGTAATCTGACATCCAGAGTATAATACTAAATAGCTAAAGTCCTAAATCTGGCATTTCTTAGTTTTACAAGTTTTGGTCATGTGTCAGAAAGATAAATACAGCTTTGCTGGGCACACATGAGTGACCACACATTTGCTCTGCACACAACGGCAGCATCACGGGGTGTGAGGTGGTTGGGAAGCCCTCTACCTTTCTGCACACAGGACGTAGAATGCCTCTTGCCTTCCCAGACACCAGCTACAGTGTCCTTGTTCAGTTAGCTGCCTTCAGGGGAGTCTTCCTGGACCTCCTACTGGAGCCAGGGTGGTCATCAGTCCTGCCTAGAGTCTTCACATTCCACTGCGGAGGTGGTGGAGTCCTGGGAAGAAATGACATGGTCATACTGAGACCACACCCCCAAAACAAACAAAAACCCTAAACCAAAAAATACCTGACAAAACCAAAAGGAACTTTTTGTCATACTTACGCTTTATCAGGCAGTGATAAACATAAAATGTCATTTCCTTGATTCTGGGCTTCTGTTTTCTCTGAAAAGGAGTCCCGACACAGATTCAGTTTTTCCAGAACTTCAAGGACAACTAGTGTCTCACACAAGAAGGAAACTTACCTTTGGCTGCAAAGGGAGTCTGTGATATTCCTATGAAACTGACCCCTGCTCCGAACGTGACGTCAGTGATGGACCCTGGCAAAGGGAAGCACATCACAGAAACATTAAGGAAAAGCTGGCAGGATGCAGGCACCGTGTGCAGCCGCCTCAGCAAGTCAGCCAGTCTGCTCTGCTCCCGTTGTGGCCTGTTCACATTGAGGTTCTACCTCAACCTAACCTTTCCCTAGGACTTCACAGTGCTGACACTCCTCCAAGAGCTTCTTCAGTCTCTCCTAGCTTTCCCTTTGGACAACAGCCCTGTTAAAGATGCTCTGTACCCTGCTCTTACCTCTGGCTTTTTAGGTACCTTGACTCCTCTCTGCATCCTAGCCTGACACTTCCCATTCATCTCACCATCCCCTGCCTGGACACATCAGAACTCATTACTTCTTGATATGTTCCTGCTATGTTTCTACACACAACAGGATGGACCGGTATATGGTCCACCCAAGCTGGAGCCATCAGGCACCATCAAGCCCTGCTGATGCTAGTGTTCAAGATTCTCTACCTAGTGCCCTACTTCACCATGAATGTCTTGATCCATCATATCCCAACCCTTTATCTGTCACTGCTTCTACCCGCTCCTCCAGCCTCCTCTTCCTCCAGCTCACCCCTTGGGAGGCAGGTGAGCACACACTGAAAAACAGACTGAAGCACAGTGGGTCTGTATCCTTGCTGAGTCTTACTAGTGTGAACTACACAAGAATCTAAAATGGTATTGAAGCGAATTCCAAAAAATGGAAACGAGGTTTTTTTCCTTTGTTGCTGCTTTAATTTCCTTTTTTTTTGGGGGGGGGGGGGGAGCTGTGTCTTGTTTGTTTACATGTCTCTGGGAGGGGCAGGGGAGGCACAGAAATGAAGGAACAAACGATGAACAAATGTGGGTGGGGATTGGAAGGAAAAACGGGGAGAGGGTGAGGGAAGAGGGTGACACTGTCCAAAACGAAATGTATGCTACCTGACTCATGACTGTAACCCCTCTGTACATCACCTTTATAATAACAATAATAATTTTTTTAAAGAATCTAAAGTAGGAGCTAGGCACTGGTGGCTCACATTTTGTAATCTTAGGAGGCTGAGATCTGAAGATCACAGTTTGAAGCCCACCTGAGCAAGAAAGTCCATAAGCCTTTTACCTCCAATTATCTACGCAAAAGTCAGACATGGAGCTGTGGCTCAAGTGGTACAACACTAGCATTGGGCAAAAAAGCTAAGGGACAATGCTGAGGCCCTTAGTTCAAGGCCCAGTACCAAAGCAAAAATCTAAAATGGGGATGAAAATATATACTAATCCCATAAGGGGTTGTTATGATTAAATGAGGTTATATAAAGTATATAACACAGTACCTGATCCAAGGTTAACTGCTAAAGAAATAGTTAGCTATTATCTCTTCTATTAGTGGAGTCACTTTGAGATGGCCCCATTGCCTTTACAAACTCACATGGGAATGCTGCAGGACACCTGCTGTATACCATGTTTGTGAATCAATGTTCTCCAGCAGGCCCTGACCTTCACACCTGTGTGTACGTTCAGCCCTTCCGCCTGGCCTGCTGCTGAGAACAAACCCAGCACTCCACCGGTCCGTGGCACTCCATACTCTAAGCTTCCACCGGCCCACTTGTAGAAGCAGAGCTGGGTGTGAAGCTGGCCCAGCATACTTGTGAGTGTAGCACTCCCACCTTTCTCCATGTTGTGATATCCTAGAAGTATGGATGGTACTTTTCTAAGCTCAATTCTAAGTTACCCAGCAGTGCTTCCCAGCATTCCACCTGCAGATGGACTGGCAAAAGATCCCACCTTCATCTGTGAGCTCTTCCTGAACTGTCATTGGAATCACACAGTTTCTGCAACTCCGAAGCCTACATGCCTTCTAGGTAACAAGTCTCCTGCCTTTACCAAAGCACCTGCACAGGGGATCTTACCCTCCACTCCCCAGTGTACTCTGTGCTTAGAATCAAAGGCAGAAGTGCCTTTGCTGCCTGCATTACAGCTGCAAGAGGGATTTGCTAAACACTATACAGATTTTCAGCTAAATCCTTGCTCTGAAAATGATACTCTCCATTTAGCAAAGCCACTGCCCATCTGAACCATGGTGCATTGCAAGAGTTGAATCGAGTAGCCTTCTTCCTACTGGCTTTTCAGAGTTCAGGCCACATCATGATAGTCATCAATAGAAACCATGCTGAAAAAGGCACTGCATGCTCCTAAGTTCTATGCTAATTCTCAGGACAGCTAACAGGAGACCCTTCTTTAAGTACCTCTAGTTCAGAAATCACAGCAACAAAGACAATACATTTAGCAGCCTGGAGAGAGAACAGGTTTGTGTTCAGACCCAGTGACACCTGAGTCTTGTTTTCAGTGCAAAGATGAGTCCATACATGCAAATCAGCCTCATGCACTGTGCCAGGTTTCACTGGTGAGGAACACATGCTCCCAGGAGATCAACCAGAGCCTGAAACCAAGAACTCATGGGATGAGCAAAACTAAAGTCAGATGTACTGTCCTTGTTTCTCAGCCTACAGCACCCATGTGCCAAAACAGAAGCATTTGGTTCCCTGAGCCAGGAATACTCTTGAAAGAGGAGGACTATTTTACATAACATCACCACATCTTTTGATGTACAGAGAGCCAGAATTATCCACTCCCTTTCATGACAGAGTCATCATTGTTTAGTTGTTGTCTGAGGACAGCTGAGGTAGGAATTCTGTTCACTAATCTCATTAAAAGAGGGCCCTGGATGAAGATTTTTTCCATAGCCCCTAAATATTCAGAGACATAAGAATATCACAGGTTAATAAGCAATAAGCAAGTAGCTAGAAGCCAGGAGGTTCTTGGTGAATATACCCTGCTTGTAGGTGGAGTCAATGAGAGGAAAACATTGGTTTATCTTAAATCTCAACAGTGCCCGGAATCAGGTTGATAAAGAGGCTGCAGAGGCTCACAGAGGTTGAAATCCAGGGTCTGAGCTGAGACCCACCTCTGCCACTGAACAAACTGCTTCTATCACAAACAGAATAAATACAGAAGACTGGTGTGCAGTGCCAAGAGGTTCAGGGAGCCCAGGAGGGGCCTACTTCAGCTTAAGAGGCAGGGAAAGGGCGTCGGGATAAGGGTTTGGTAAGTGAGGGCTCAGGTTAGGGAATAACATGGTTTGGGTCATTGACGAGCCTGCGCAGCACTGAGATACAGAATGGGGCGCATCAGGCAGGTCCTAGGAAATTATACTGTATATTCTGGACAGTAACCATCTCTTCATACTATTGGTTGACTATCCCTAATCTGAAAATCAAAATACATGCCATTCAAAAACCCAAAATGTCATGAATGCTGACCTGAGGTCACAGTGGAAAGTTCTACTCTTGACCACAGATGACAGCAGCCATCTAAACATAAGTGCAGGGGCTGGGAAGATGGCTCAGTGGTAGAGTGCTTGCCTTGCATGCCTGAGGCCCTGGGTTTGATTCCTCAGCACCACATAAGCAGAAAGAAAAAAAAGCTGGAAGTGGCGCTGTGGCTCAAGTGGTAGAGTGCTAGCCTTGAGCTGAAGAGCTGAGGGACATCGCCCAGGCCCAGAGTTCAGGCCCCACGACCAACCAAAAAAAAAAACAACAAAAACAAAAACAAAAAAAACGTAAGTGCAGAAAATACTGTGTAAAGTTACTGTCTGGTTATGTGTGTGGGTCTATGATACATCAGTGAATCTCACTGTGTATAGACTTCGGCCATATCCTGAAGAGTTGTCAGTATGTATATGCAAATACTTCCAAATCCAAAAATATCTGAAATCTGAAACATTTCTGATTCTAAGCATTTTGGAATAATTTTCTCAATAATGATTCTTATGGGATTTAAAACAACTATAAATTAGGGGAAATTTTTCAACTCTTCTAATTTGTTCCTATTTGGGAAAGGAAAGAAAAGAATGGGGCATTTGGACAAAACAGCTGTTGAGGTTCAGAGAAGACAGAGGCACTTGCTATAGCTGGAGCATCAATCTCAACATACCAGAGCCCCCAGTCTAAACATGCTCGGTACACGTCAGCACCAACTTCTGACTACTCCCTATGGTAGACTCGCTGAGTACTATCCAGTACTCTTGTAATGGCAAGAGGTAGCAGGTAGGGCTAGTGACTTGATCTATGTGCCTCAGCTTCCCACAAGGATCCTCTAAGTCATTTTGAAGTTTAAATGAGCTAATAGAAAAACTACTGGCCCACCCCAATGGACTAATGGGTCAAAAAAATGTGATATAGGGGCTGGGAAGGTGGCTCAGTGGTAGAGCGCTTGCCTTGCATGCATGAGGCCCTCAGTACCACATAAGCAGAAAAAAAAACAAAGCCGGAAGTGGTGCTGTGGCTCAAGTGGTAGAGCGCTAGCCTTGAGCTGCAGAGCTGAGGGACAGCGCCCAGGCCCAGAGTTTAGGCCCCACGACTAGACCCCTCCCCCCAAAAAAAGAAAACGTGGTATAGATAAACAATGGCATTCTACTCTTCCATCAGAAAGAATGATATTGTACCATTCGTAAGGAAATGTAAAGACTTGGAAAAAATAATATTAAGCAAAGCAAGCCAGACTCAAAGAAATATAGGTTGCGTGGTTCCCCTCATTTGTTCTAACTAGACTGTACCTAAAAATCTATAAGCAAACACACTGGATGGTAAAAGACAAAAAATACATTTGGACAGAAAAAAATTATACAAGACTGTAGACAGTCACACAGTGAGACCTACAAGGAGGATATTCTTAGGAGAGAATCACAAAGATATAATAACTATGTGCATATGGTCATATAAAATGATATTAATCAACATGAATTCCAAGAGTGGAAACAACAGTTTTTTTCTTTGTTGCTGTTTTTGTTTTCTGTACCTTCTGTCTTATTTGTAATTGTATCTGTTTGGGGGAAGGTAGGGGGCGGGACAGAAATGGTGGGACCAAGGGTGAACAAATGTAGCAGTGATCCTCACTAGACACTATGTTGAAAATGAACTATACAACTTGTGTGTGTGTGGGGGGGGGGGGGGGGCAGATGGGAGGGAAAAAAAAGAGAGAGAGGGAAGGGGTGATACTGTTTAAAAAGAAATGTCCTCATTACCTGACTTATATAACTAACCCCTCTGTACATCACCTTTATAATAACAATTAAAAAAAGAAAACTTGGTTGAGCATCAGGAGAGCTGCTGTCCAATTACAAGCAGTATCTTGCAACAAAGTTTTCCTACAATACAGCAAATGCACAGTGATCAGAGGAGAGGGTACTTACTCTCTGGGGTACTGATTGCCCGCAACTGCTTGATAGCACCATCAGACTCTTGCTCCAAGCTGTAGGAAGGTGCTAAAATGGAAAACAATATTAAAGACTAAAACCATCAAAGAGAAGGCATAGGACATATATGGCGAAGCTCAAGTTCCCAGTGGTTAAAGTTTCTTAGAGCCAGTTCAAAATGCACTGCAAATATGTGATAAGCCTCAGAAAACATGGGCATTCTCACTAATTTTCTCTAGAAAGTTGAACTATAAAACTCAGCAAACAATGGAAAATTATAAAAACCAGTGTTTCTAAGCTGGAAAATTTAGTTTGACACTGAAGTTTTCTAAATATTCATGACCTTTGACTACTGGGCATAGTTCTAAGGATTCCATACATACAGGCTATACATGCAAGGGTATTTACTGTGACATTATTTAGACTAAAAAAATTGAAAAGCACTTTCAATAGGGTCCTGATCAAAAAGTTTTGGTACTTCTTTAAGATGGAATGCTATAAAACCACTGGGAGGAGTTTTGAAAATTAAAGAAAACTTTTCCCTATGTATCACATAGGGAAGCAGGTGATAAAACAATGTATACTAAGATCACATTTTTATAAGTATACAGAACACACACACACACACATACACACATATGTGTGTATGTGTGTAGAAAAAAGATTAGAGGAATAAACATGTACTACTGTGGTTTTATGTTCTCCAATTCCAAAATCTTTCAGGGAGCCACAAACTGTTTTCTCGCCTACAATCCTAAATCCCCAGTTAATGTCAGATGTCTTGAGATAAGGAAACAGAAAGCATTTGAAGAGGAATGACAAGCAGACTTGTTCTTTTTAGTCAGCTGTGAGCTCTCCCTATGTCTGGCACCAATCTTTAGGCTTACCCTGGCTGCCTGGTTTCTCTGGGCTTTCCAACTTTAAAGTAAAGGGATGAATTCCTGAGCCCTGGCTGCGATGTTTATTCTTGGACTCCACGGCTTTCTTGACGGAATTCAGGATGGCAATGGTGCTCAGGGACATGGGCCTGTGGGAGATAACATGCCACAGATGCTGCAGAGGCAGCAGGAAGACAATGTGGCCCTTGCCCACATCCTTTGAGACATGCTGCTCATCCACCCTCTTTCCAGTCTTCAAGGGAGGGGTATGGAGTGAGGAGACTTCCAGCCAATGCAAAGATGAACAGGGTGTGTCATAGCGGGAGGCAAGACCAGCCTGCCACTGCCTAATGGGCTCCCTACCTGGCACTGGGCATTAACATCTTCAGAGGCCCAGCTTCTTGTGTGAGAGGCAAAGATGGTGTGTGACCCGTGCTAGTGCTAGATCCAGGTATTGAGGGCCAGCTTGCAGCTGGGGGCACAGCAGCATTTTCTTGGCCAGCAGGAGCTGGCACTGCTTCTGAGCCAGGACCAACCTGTTAGAGAAGATGAATGGAATTGGAATCTTCCTATGTTATGAACAAGCTATACCAGTCTTGGGCAAGAACACATTTCTCTTCGACACAGAACTATCAGCCAACTGCCACACATAGATCTTGTGGCCAATTTGTCCTCGTCACGCTTAAGTGCAACAGATCTGTCTGGATTTCTCAGGCAGTGAGAACATCGTGCTTCTAACAAGAGCAGCAGCTAGACCTAGAAACGCCTCCGGGGACAATATGCTCTCAAGAAGGGTGGCTGTGAGAAAGACCCCAGCGAACGAAAACATTAGGAAAGGAGGCTTAGGGGTGGGTGGCCTGGAATTACAGCTCAGATGTCCGGTACTGGTATGCATCTGGCACTAGGCATTTCTCCCATTATTATTGCAATTTTCCAGACAATGTCCTACGGTAGGGACTGCGGAAGGAGAAGCTTGAGCCACTGCTCTGTCTATTGCACGTAACAAGGGAACATGGAACCGGCCAGCAAGCCACATGCCCAGGGGTCTAATGCTGATTCAACTCTGATTACGTGTGGGTTTGGGAGAATGCTGGGAAAGCTGGCATGCGAAAATACTGGACAGTTGGTCAGCCTAAGTCAGACCTCCTCCTACCTGCACAGCTTGGACCCCATCACCACCATCAAGCACCCTGTTCATATCAGCCTGCTTGGCCAGCTCTTGTTCCTGGGCCAGCTGCTCGTTATATTTCTTCATGTCATACTCAAGTTCAGATGCCAGTTGTTTGTCAACTGCAAAGAAATCCTTGATTTCATCCCGGTAATCTTGCATTACTTCCTGAAAGACCCAGAAGCACCCGTTAAGTGTTTTCTTGACTAAAATAAGCTCTTGCAGGCATGGTAGCACCAACTGCAATCCTAACACACAGAGGGCAGAGGCAGGAAGATCACAAGGTTCAGGGCAGCCTGGGCTACTCAGCAAAACCCTGTCTCAACAAGAAAAACAAGAAATAAGCAGTGCAGTACAACCTGACAAACAATAACAACAGTAAAATGTGTCTGAAGCTAATGGCTCCTGTCTGTAATTCCAGTTACAGAGAGCCCATGAGACTCTTATCTCCAATTAACCACCAAAAGTAGAGGTAGGGCTCAAGTCGAGGCCCCAAGTTCAAGCTCTAGTACACAAGCAAACACGTGCACACACACACACACACACACACACACACACACACACACACACACACACACAAAGATTTGCATTACTGAGAGTAGGCAGTATCTATTACATTAATTAGCAGATTACTTAGCATAATGGCCTATTGTAAGGAAACATTAATGATGTTCACATTGTCCACCATGATGTGAGATATTAACAAACAGTTCCCATCTCATAGGAAGCTTCCTGTTTATCTGCCAGGTGAGGGGCAATCGCTCAGGTACCCAATGGGAGAAAGACATGGTCCTGGCCCAGGCTCCCACAGCAGATCCAGGGAGCAGAGCAGCCTGGAAGCTGCTCATTCACTTACACTAGCTTTATCCACTAGACCCAGAGAACCACAACTAAGGCCCTAAACCCATTTTTGTGCCTTTTGATTTTATTGAAAATCTTTCATTACATCTGGGTTCAAGCCTTAGAGGGGGTCTTTTAACCTCTGGGTTAAGAGAAAGAACCCTTTCTGCCTAACAGAACTAGCTACACTGCAGTTCAACCATGACAAAAACTACAGGAAGACTATCAGCTCCGGCAGTCACTACTGCAGAGCTAAGAGGCTGCTGAATGAAATTCAGGGGTGTGGTAGAAACAGGAGGACCTAAACATTTTATATGCCCTCCTCTGATTGGACGGATTGGACAATAAAAAATATAAAAATAATTACAAGTTCTCATTTTTCTCTATACAGTGTGCTCATCCCTCCCAACCCCTTCTTACTTAGCGTACAAGGTCACCTGAAGATCATATTCCATGGCATTTTGTTGCCGCCTTTTCAGAGAAAGGGTTTTTGTTTTTGTTTTTGTTTTACGGGAAAATATGCAATGTTACCAGAGAATAACTGCTAAATTAAGGAAATGGTTGTGGCTTTTTATTTCTGAGCAATTCTATGAAAGATCTGAGGCCTTCCTTAGGTCTGTCCTGCAGACTCACCCTGAAAAGTGTTGCTCAGTCTGTTACTTCCCCACCCCCTTCACAAACAGCAATGCCAGCCAGAGGACAGCAGCTGCCATGGCACCGTTAACTCCTAACCAGGGCCATCTGAAGCAGTGAGAACAAAAGACTTCCCTTCCTCCTTCACCAGAGTGGACTACGACGAAGACTTGCTTTTTCTCCTTGACCGAAATGGAACCTAATCCTAAAATGCATACAAATGTAACAGGCATGAACATATGCTTGGCAGGTGGGAAAGGGCAGGCCTCTGCAGTGTGCCTCTAGCCCAACACCCCATCTCCTCTGCAGATAAGCCAGCTTGGTACATGCATTGTACACACTACTGTAATAAAGGTTTCTATAGCTCTCTGAGCTCTTACCACTCATTGTCTGCCTACACTGGCAGGAAATCCTAAGTAATGAATTTGGGGAAGAGATGCAACCCCAAAAGGCAAACTTATCACTTACCCTGAGATAGTTCATGAGTTCTCGTAAAGCTGGGATCTTTTTTTTCTCCAGCACAGTCTTCAGGGAGATGATAATTGGAATAATGTTTTCTATGAAATTCCTCTTTTGAACCTGTAGTAACACAAACAGAAGCATGTTTTAGATGTACAAACTTCTAAAAGACAAAAGCTTGTCCTTCATCCCATTCTTGTAGCACAGACAGTGTAGCATCTTGTAACAGTTGATTTCTGGTGTTTGATTATGACACTGGGAATGTATTGTACCGAAGGCTTTTCTTCTAAAGTCATCCTAAGCATTACAGGCAAACATTCAGAAGGTTTATAATATAGGCTACAGAGAAATACTACTCACACATTCTAAATGAGAAAAAGGAGTAAGAAATACGTTGAATAACGACAAAAAGCTCAAAATCTCCACACAAGATCTTCTGGACTCTTAACTCTGGTCTACATTCAGTCCTACTCGGGCTGTGCAGAGGTATTTTGTAATCTGAAGATGAGATGACAGTACTATAAAAATGGATAAGCATGGGCTGGGAACGTGGCGTAGTGTTAGAGTGCTTGCCTAGCATGCACGAAGCCCTGGGTTCCATTCCTCAGTTCCGCATACACAGAAAAAGCCAGAAGTGGAGCCATTGCTCAGGTGGTAGAGTGCTAGTCTTGAGCAAAAGCAGCTCAGGGACAATGTATTGGCCCCGAGTTCAAGCCCCAGGACTGGCAAAAAAAAAAAGGCTAAGTATGATGGCAGCCAGCTGCACACACACATACACATACACATATACACACATGTACATGTGTGGCAAGTGCACACGTGAGTGTGTTTTTTTTTTATAACTGTGCACACATTTTAAAAAGTGGTATGAGCTAGGTATGGTACCACTTGCTTCTAACCCCAGCCTGTAGGGAACAGAGGCAGGAGGACTGAGAATTTGTGCTAGCCTTGATTTAAATGATCACTCACCCATCTATTCAGCAATAAGTTTCTTAAGAATTAAAAATCATTCATTATAGCATCTCACATATGTAAGATTTATCTTTCTGAACCTGTACTCTTGTTCTTCTCCAAGCTAATAGTATTTTTCTTGCTTATATAACACCTCATTTGTAAAGGGTCTTCTCAGTCCCTGTAACAGGAGGCCAAAAAATAAACAATTCACTTAAATACAGACATCAACAGATGCTAGTTTAGGAAGTCTTTAGAAATGGCCTAAATGAATTCCCTCAAGTACTATCAAGACCTCAGAAATGCAACAAATTCAGATTGCTTCTAGACCACAGTGTGTGTAGGGATAAATTATACTGGGTGGCAAGAGGAACTGGAACTTGTCTGTGAGGGAAGGGTGTCTACGAAGGAAGCAGGCAGACAAGAATAGTGGTAAGAGGCTTTCTGAGAAGATAGAACTTAGAATATATGGGAATGGGGGCGGAGGTGTAAAAGGTGTAGAACAGGAGAGAATACAGCCTACCACTTCAGGGCTGAGAACCAAGGTGATCATAAGCAAAGAAGAAGGAAAGGGATGGGGTAAGTACCAGCACATTAAGATTGTATCCTGGAGGAGAATTAGTATTTTATTCAGAAATGGCACGATACCACACAAATATCATCCATAAAATAAATTTACCCCCTTATTTATCACCAAGAGAAGAGTTCCGTGAACTGACACAACAACATGCTGAGTAGCAAATACCACAAATCACCTATAATCCACCAGAAAAGTCTCCTGCTGCCCTTCACAGTCAATCTGCCTCTATTCTATTTTATGATCACATTTGTATTTTAAAAACATTGTTCTAAAGCTTGACATAGTGATGTTGCCTATCATTACAGCACTTGGAAGGTTGATGTGGAGGATCATGAGTTCAAGCCCAAACGAGGCTACATAATGAGCATCTTGTCACAAACAAACAAAAAACAAGACTGTTTGGGCAGCAAATGGCACATAGCCTGCACGACAAGGAAACTAGAGACAGAAAGGGTGCTATGGGAACAACTAGACATGACATAGACTTAACAAGTCAGAAGCAGTGGAAATCCAAGAGAGAGATGGATCTTTCAGATAAACAGACAGGATCTCCTGACAAAATGGATGACACCAGACTCCTTTAGGATCAAAAGCCTTCAGGAGCCAGGCGCCAGTGGATGGATGGATCATGCCTGTAATCCTAGCTACTCAGGAAGCTGAGATCTGAGGATCACAGTTCGAAAGCAGCCCAGGCAGGAAAAGTCCATGAGATTCTTATCTCCAATAAACTACTCACAAAAGTTCAACTGGTAGAGCACTCATTTTGAGCAAAAGAAGCTCAGGGACAGAGCCCAGGCCCAGAGTTCAAGCCCCAGGACTAGCAAAAAACAAAAACAAAAAAACAGAACCTTTAGGGATCAGGTTGGAAACATACCAGCTATCCCTATAGGGCCTGGAGAGGGCTGGTAATGAGGCTCTTGAACAGCCATTCAATTTTAAATCTGATACTTCAGGTCAAACAAAGAATGTGCTTAGAATCCTAGACACTTGTTCTGCTGTGGCACAAATTATCCAAGAGATCATTGTGGCAATTTGTTATCTAATGGCAGAAGAGGCAGAAAGTGATGACTAAGTCAGCTTTGACAGAGGAACCTTGAGACACTTGTGGCTCACGAAGACAGACAAGTGGAAGGGAACTCTGTCTTATAAGAGGAGCTGGGGCTAGAAATAGACTTGCAGATTGCTACCTAGGCACTGGTTAAAACCACTGGTAAGAACAAGCCCAGGACCCAGGGACACCACCCAGTATGCACATGAGCAGTCTGTGGGATGAGCCCACACGCACCTGTGAGATGAGCTTTATCTGGGCTTCCTGCATGACCACATTTGCCAAAGCCATGTCATCTTCTTCCAAAAGGAGATCTTTGCATGGTTTAGCTCTCATTGCCAGAAGCTTGATCTCCTTTGAGCTGAGAACATCAAATGTGTCTGAAAGCAATTCACTGGCCTCCATATCGAGCGGTAAGATGCCATCGGCGAAGCATGCTGAGAGAAAGCACAGGAGATCTAAGGAACATGTTAGGCCAGAGGGGGAGGGCAGTTCACAGGCTTACTGGCTGTCTGGGACAGCAACCTGCAGTGGGGTCTGTCTGGGGCACAGCTGATGGCACATGCCAGAAACATGGGTGTTCCTGAAGAACCAGGGCCTACATGGTACAGACCTGTGTTTTATTTTATCAATTATTTTTTTTTTTGCCAGTCCTGGGGCTTGAACTCTGGGCCTGGACACTGTCCCTGAAGGCTAGTACTATACCACATGAGCCACAGCATCACTTCTGGCTTTTTACTTGGAGTCTCATGGACTTTCCTGCCCAGGCTGGCTTTGAACCATGACCCTCAGATCTCAGCCTCCTCAGTAGTTAGGATCAGAGGTGTGAGCCACGGGTACCTGGCCTGTATTTTATTTTTAAACACATATTTGCCACTATCTCCCCCACCAACACCACCATGAGGCCTACCCAGAATACTAAGGCAGATTTTTGAAGTGATATTGAATCGCTGCTCATCTGTGAAGTGTTCTAGAAGAAACTTGTAGATTCTCATTCGCCTCCCCTTGTTGGTCTTTCCCTTCAGTGAGAACAGCCGCTTCTCTCTGTGGCAGAGCACAATGGTTTTACCACACAAGTGGGTGTAGGTGTCAAGGGTTCAGCACAACATTGTACCAGCATCTGCAAGGCTAAGTGCAAAGGACACTGGGATTCCAATGTCTTCCTGGACATATAATTCCTTCAGGACCCTAGCCTCACAGGTGAATTTTCCTAAACTGTCCTGCCAAAGAAGGTAACAAGTACCAAGCAAAATATCCAGATGACAGTCAGTGGTCCAAGCTCTGCACAAGACCAGCCAGACATTTCCTACCTCTCTGTCTGAACAGCCAGCACCTCCCAAACCTCCCCTTACCTCTTACCAAGAGACCATCCACCCCGGCCACTCCACTGACCTCTCGGACTGGGGAAATTTGTTATACTTCTCATGCTTCTCATAGTTGTTGAAGTGGAATATACACTCAATAAAGTGCTGGAAGAACATGACAGGGTTCCTCTTCAGTAGCAAGTGAGCCAGGCAAAACTCCCCCAAACTGCAAAGTGGAGAGAAAAAAGTAGGAAACACGCTTGTTGTTTGCATGGTCTCTACAAATATGTAAGCACTGCCGTGAAGCACAAAGAATGGTAAGCAAGGCTAAAAGATTCTAAAGCTACCTAGGTAGTTGGGTACTTCCTTCCTTCGCAAACTAATCATCTTTGTGTTTTCTTCCTTTTCTTTCTTTTTCTTTTCTTTCCTTTTTGACTTGTTTCTTTTTCTTTCCCTTTTTTTTTTTTTTGTGCTAGTCCTGGGGCTTGACCTCAGGGCCTAAGCTTTGTGCTCAAGGATAGTTCTCTACTACTTGAGCCACAGCTCCACTTCCATTTTATTTTATTTTGGCCCCTAATTGGAAATAAATCTCATGAGCTTTCCTGGTTGGGCTGGCTTAGAACCATGATCCTCATATCTCAGCCTCCCGAGTAGCCAGGGTTATAGGCATGTGTCACCAGCAGCTGGCTTCCTTCTCTTTCTTAGTTGCACTTTATATTAGTCACTTTCTTGCATTGAACACTTATATCTGCTTTTTATACTTCTGCAGTAATTGCTAACTTACGACTATTTGTACTTGGATTTCACTCTGTGTTTACTGGACTACAAGGTCCCCACCTAGTGGGCAGAGGAGGAAATATGTCATGCAACTTTGTTTCCCCCAAATTTGGGGTTATCAGAAACAACTAAAAATGTTGCATAGCCTTGGAGTTTAGCACAATGGTAGAGCACTTGCCTTCAATGCACAAGACTCTGAGTTTGATCCACAGCACTGCCCTCCAATATATATTCATGCAAAAAAGAAACCACTTCAAGAAATCCCATTGGACCACAAGTAAATTCAGTTCTACCACTAGTCTCTGTAAGATCTACACTGGCATTTAGTATGGAAAAATTACTATTAATCAAAGCAGACAGACCTGGCCTTTGGCCTAAACAATCAGAGACCAGACTTAAATTACAGTTCACCAGGTTTCCAAAGTGGAAAATCCTGGCCTACATTTGAACTATGATTTAAATAAACCCAGAATGCAGTGATAAAACTGAGAGGCTTAAAAGTGCACGCGCGCTTGTGTGTCTGTGTGTGTAAAAGGCTACAAGAAGCACTGATAAATCCTACTATAGTGTAAGTTATCTTCGTATCTGTCCTCATTTCTTTCTGATTGATAATATCTATAATTGATAATATCTATATTCAAATTCTACATATATTTTACACATTGACAAGTGCTTAATATATTTGTTGTAATGCATTTTAACTTAGAATTTCTAATTAACAGAGAAACATCAACACTGTATACAGTGTATACTTTTATTGTGCCATGAAATGTTTCAAAACATGTACACACTGTATAGTATTTAAATAAGGTTAAACAAAGCTATTGCCTTGTTTTTTAAACATGCCCATGAATAAGCTCATAAAAAACAGGAAAACAAAGAAATACGAGCTACACAGTCCATCTTCTATCCTACGTTATTGTCTAGAACAGCTCATGCACTTTGAACACTCAGCTCCATCTGTACACTGCATAGACAGCAGTCAGCAGACAGTGCTAAGGAGCACTGCAAAGGGAGGAGGGAGCCACACAACTATTGCTTCCTTTGCCCAGCTATACAAAGAAAAAGAAAACCAGACAGTCCTAGCGTTTTCTTCTGGATCTAGACATATTAATTAGAATGTTAACCTTCTACCATGTGTTGTTATGTGAAATGTTCTTCCTTAGGAAATTACACCCAAAGAAAACTCAGCAGAAATTCTTCCAATGGAACTCAGAGTAAATTATTGGTGACCATTTTTAGAACCAGAGGGACTCATTATTCTATGCTATTTATAGTTAATGAACTCTATAAAGACTTTCTCCTCACTGTGGTAGCTTTTTCCATGGCATTCAACATTCTATTTTCCAATTGCACACTTGCTTTAAAAAGAATTATTCATACAATATAATCTAAGGTAGCAAATTCTATCAGACTATTTCTTAACCCTTAAAAATGGGTCATAAAAAAAAAAAATACCAGGGCCAGGCTCTGGTAGCTCACACCTGTAAATCTTAGCTATTCAGGAGGCTGTCAATCTCAGTTGAAAGCTTGCCTGGGCATCAAAGACCAAGAGATTCTAACCCTAACATACCAGTAAAAAGCAGGTTCAGAGGCATGGCTCAAGGGGTAGAGCACCAGCCAAGCAAGCAAACTAAGCAAATGCGCGATATTGAGTTCAAGCCCTAGTACTGCCAAACGAACAAACCAAAACCAAACAAAAAGAAGCTGTACATTGTGGTACATGCTTGTGACCCCAGTTACTTGGGAGCTAGAGGCAGGAAGATCGTGAGTTCAGACTAGCAGGCAAAGATAGCAAGACTGTCTCAAAAACAAAAGGTCTTGGCGGGCGGGGGCATACCTCAAATGGTGAGTGACTAGCATATATGAAGCCCTTAGTTCAATCCCCAGTGCTACCAGAAAAAAATAAGGAAGAAAAGAAGGGAGGGAGAGAGAGAGGAAGGGAGGAAGGGAGGGAGGGAGGGAGGAGGGAGAAAGGAAGGAAGGAAGGGAGGGAGGGAGGGAGGAAGGAAGGAAGGAAGGAAGGAAGGAAGGAAGGAAGGAAGGAAGGAAGGAAGGAAGGAAGGAAGGAAGGAAAGAAGGAAGGAAGGAAGGAAGGAAGGAAGGAATTGGCAAAGTTATATATCTCACACCTCTTTATAAGGAGCCTTGTAATTTGTATGTTCAAATTCACACTGCAATTATCTTCATTCCTAAAATTTCTTCCTTATAATTTCTGGACTTAAAATAAATTTGGAACTCTTTATCAAAAATAACATTTTTTTAAGTGGGGGGTGGCCTAGAAATAGATATAATCAAGTCAACAGTCAATGGCTTCTATCCTGTACAGTTTGGTATGACAAAGGCATGAATAGTTCTTTATTACTCTTTCGGGGAGACAAATAACATTAGCAAATATAGTCAACACTGCGATCATCTGGATGGATCTAGCCAGGTTTTGTTTTATTTTTAACTTAAATATGAACATCTGTTGTATAGTTCAGTACCGTAAAAGTTGGCTCCTTTTTCTGGCAACTATCAAAAGCTCCCTAAATCTCAAATAACTGATTGTAGATCAAACTGAAGAAAAGAATCTAGTGTACACCAGAATGAGGGATACTGTCCAGCCATGGGACATGTGAGAGACAGATTTACCTGGCAACATCTGGCTGTGAATCGATCAGCGTGCTGACAAAGTGAAAGAACAGAGGGCCCTTCCATTTCACAAACTCCTCCTGTGAAAGAGAAACCAACATATTTCAGGATGAATCTAATATAGAATCCTTAGGTGCATTTAGTCACAGAACCACTCATCTACTTTGTGTGACATTACTCCTGCTGGCTTCTGGTCTATCTAGGACAAATGAGCTCAGTTGGGTAGCAACTCACTGCCCACCATCTTGAAACCTCTTCTCCACTTGACAGTGCAAAGAGATGTGGAGGAATAGTAAGTGGGTAAGATGTCATCAAATCTTAGGAAAATGGCTCAAAGCATATATGGCGTTTACAGGACAGAGCCACAGGTGCCTCTGTGTTAGAAACACAGCACATACATGAGGCTAGATTCTTTCATGCACCAAAATCCCTCACTGAACTCTCAGAACAAGGATGTGAAACAGCCCAGCAAAAGTATTATCCTTATTTTGACAAAAGAAGAAGTCTGAGAAATGTGGATTTGTTCAAGGTCAAGAAGAGTAACAGAACTGAAGCTTGTGTGCTTTTTTGTCCAGGGTATTTATTTGTAAAAGTGGAACTTCATATGTCTTGAAAGGATGCCTACACAAACCCCAAATGAATATTCTCAAGTTAAGGATCTGATAAAACAGGCTGAACTGAACTTGAGAAGCATGGGACTGTAAAGTAAAGATGGGGCTGGTTATTTTTGGACTCTATTACACCGTAAGCACATTTCCTCTGCTAATTGAGTGTTCCCTTAAACCAGAAGCAGTGGTTGGTGGAGTGGAAAAAAGACATACCTGCAAGAGGTTGGTAAGCAAGAACAGAGTCTGCTTTCGGATAAATGGGTCTGAATCCTTCAGACAAATGGAGATATTGGGAATGTACTTGTCAACCATGACAGTGTATCGGATACAAAGATCACACATCACGATGATGACATTGTTGCGAACGGCTACATCCTTACACACTTCCAGCTCTCGCACAAGGGCTGGGATGCTCTCCTTTGCCAGGTCCTCATTCTGTAAGCATAGCTTACCTGTTCCAGAAAAGAGGGAGATACCAGGACTCAGATGTATGGGTTTTATTTAAAGTTAAGCCATCATGCCCACAATCATAAGCAACAAAAGCTGAGACAGACAAAACCATCTAAAGGTCAAAGTACCTATAGGAAAAACAGACTCCATCAGAGGCTGTAGGAGATACATGTTTTGGAATATTCCTCTACATTACTAAAATTATTACTTTGTTTCTTCTTTACAATTAGAGGAGGGTTGCTAAATTGTATTGGTTTGTATGTTTGTCTGGTGGCCTGGGGATTTTGCTCCTATTTGAATTTCTTACATATTTTTAAAGAAATCAATATCACAAAAAATTCATAACTTTTAACTACCACAAATAACAGTCATAGTGAGAGAAAAAGTTCAGATTATAGCACAGAGGTCAGCATTTTCCTAACAACTATTTGAGTTCATGTACAAATATGCTTAAGTCTCATTTGCCAACTCTGGAAAGAATGAAATAAACTGTTTCCTTTTATGACCTGAACTTCAGATTCATTTTTCCATTTCCAGAACTCAGTGTAGCACTTGGAATACAGTTCTTGATAAGCAAGACTTTGCGGTGCTATCACGTGAATATTCTTTTAAAAAAAAAATGATAGGAGCTGGGCGCCAGTGATCACATCACGCCTGTAATCTTAGCTACTCAGGAGTTTGAGATCTGAGGATCACAGTTCAGAACCAGCCCCAAAAGTCCATGAGACTCTTATCTCCAGTTAACCACCAGAACACCAGAAGTGGTACTATGGCTCAAGAGAGAGTGCTCGCCTTGAGGTGAAGAGCTCAGGGACAGCTCCCAGGTCTATTTCAAGCCCCACGACTAACCAAAAAAAGATAGGAACAGGTATAACTGTAATAAATTAACACAACCTAAGAATAAAAGCTCAATATAGTAAGGTTCTGAGTGTCAGTCTTGTTTAGTTACTCCTGAGGACTTTGTCAACAGTACCGCTGTTGCACACCTGGGCTCCTATGAAAATTACTACCTCTTCATATCACAAGAGCTAGAGCAGGTACAACTTTAGCAGCATGCAGCATGTTGCTACAGATGAACTTATCTCAGACAAAAGCTCATGGAGTACCAATGGCTCATATCTATAATTCTAGCTACACAGGAAGTTGAGATCTGAGGATCGATATTTGAAGCCAGTGCAGGCAGAAAAATTGGTAAGATTCTCTCCAATTAACCAGTAAAATGTCATACTACAGGTGTGGTTCAAGTGGTAGAGCATCAGCCATGAGTATGGTCCTGTATGAGCGTACACACACACACACACACACACACACACACACAAACACACACACCAAAGGCAAATGCCATATGTGGAAGCAGACATCAGAGCCCATTTTCTCCCACATGGTACACTTACCTAAGGTGATGATGGCATGCGCTCTGATCACAGAGGGCATGACAGAGCCTCTGACCTGGGAGGCTGGCTGAGCAGGTGGAGCATCACTGGTACCTGGAGATGATGGTACTGCAGGGAAGAGAAAGGGTTCAGTGGACAGGGCATCGGCAGGTAATTCAGCGATAAGACCACACAGCACAGATGTAACTTTGGGTGCCTTACATTGATCTCCATCAATGGAAGAAGCCAGGATGGACTGAACCAGAAGAAAGATTCGCTTCTCTACTCTGGATGGACACAGTTGGGCTACGTCTCCCAGGGTAAAAATATATTTCACCTGCAAAGACAATTGGTTTTGCATTGAAAAGGAGGCAAAAGGAAAATTAGCTGCAGTGAATAATTTGTCAAGGAAGTTTTTTCTTTTTTCTTTTTGGTCTGTCGAGTTATAAAACTTTATTTCAGAAAAGTAGATGCCACTGTGAAAGTGTAGTCACTTCTTGATGAAACCTACCCAAAATTACAGTGACCATGTAATTTTATCATCTAAATCCAGACACGTCTGTGTGAGTAAATGAATCTATGAATTAAGAATCAGGTTGTGTGGCTGGGGAAGGTGGCTCAGTGGTAGAGTGCTTGCCTTGCATGCATGAGGCCCTGGGTTCGATTCCTCAGCACCACATAAGCAAAAAGAAAAAAGCGGGAAATGGCACTGTGGCTCAAGTGGTAGAGCGCTTGCCTTGAGCTGAAGAGCTGAGGGATAGCGCCCAGGCCCAGAGTTCAGGCCCCACAACCGGACCAAAAAAAAAAAAAAAAATCAGGTTGTGATAAAATGTTATCTTGGGTAAACTAAGAAAGAGTTATTTATTTATAATCCCACCTCTAAGGATATCGTTATTGTTTTTGGATGATGTTATTTGAGACCAGGCCTTGCTATGTAGCCCAGACCGGCCTCAAACCTGTGATCCTTCTGCCTCTTCCTCCCAAGTGCATAGGGTTACCATGTCTAGATTAACACATCATTATTATTTTTCTCTTTTTTTCTTCTAGGTCCCAGGATTCAAACTTGGTACCTGTGGCCGCTTTTGATGACTGGCTGGTGCTCTACCAACTGAGCCATGCCTCCAACTCCTCACTATTATTATTATTAGTCAGTTGTGTGGCTTGAACTCTAGGTCAGGGCACTGTCCCTGAGCATTTCAGCTCAAGGTGAGCACTCTACCATGTGAGCCACACTGCCACTTCCAGTTTTTCTGGTGGTTTATTGGAGATAAGAGTCTCACGGAGTTTCCTGCCTGGGCTGGCGTTGAACTGCGATCCTCAGGTCTCAGCCTCCTGAGTATTTAGGATATAGGCATGAGCCACTGGCACCTGGCTTCACTATTATTTTTATGTATAACTTTCTTTTTTCTATAATCACCTGCTTTATCTTTACCTTTATTACACACTTACTAATGATGCTACTTCAATTATTACTTTGAACTCTAGGCATATTTTTATGCCAGCATATACAGTAAATAGGTTTGATGACTACATTAAGTCTGCCACTTAAAAACAAAGGATGCCATCTTAATTTTGCTCATTATCCACAACTAGTGAACATTTACATTATTTCTAACTCTTTGGCTTTGTTTACATCAGCTCTGGTGAATACTTCTGTGTTCTTGAAACTCCTGATCTTCCTGCCTTAGGTTCCGGAGGTCTGGGATTACAGGCATTCGATAACATACCCAGCCCAATAAGAAATTGAGAAACTCAAGACTCACTCAAATCCTGGGCCAAGTTTGTGCTACATATCACGGCCCTAATATCTAAGGCATTCAGATTCCCACAACGATAGTATTTACTACTGACTGTGTCTGTGTGCCTCAGGCACAATGGTTTTCTAGGTAATAACTCTAAAATTTGTCTTTAAGCACCACAGCTTAAGCTGTAGAAACTGAGCATAGAAAAGAAGCGCTCTAAAAAAGAAAGAGAGAGAGAGAAGAAAAGAGAAAGAGAAAGAAAGAAAGAAAGAAACCCATTAAGGGTTAGAGGCATGGCTCAGGTGGTAGAGCATCAGCCAATGAGCAAAAGCAAGCATTAGATAGAGTTTGAGTCCCAGCTATGGACCCAAAAAGAAAAAAAAGAAGAGGAAATAAAGTTGCTGTACTCATTTAAACAAATCAGTAAAGGTCAAGTTTGGTTAAATTGTCCTTCTAAAGTAATTCAAATAGCTCTTACTGCTTTCTTTAGAAGCAAAATAACCATCACATAGCCTATTTGTCAAAAGCCAGTGCTTCATATGTCCTGGCTCATTCGACTTCGACCCTGAAAACTGTTTCTAAAGTAGAAGTGCCATGGAGGCTTAGCCAAGCATTCCTAGGTAGATTCATGTTTTAGATTGTCAATTCATTCCTTTTATTTTACACATTCCAACTGATCAGCCCTACTTCCCAGCTCCACAGTTGGATGCTCAAATAGCTAACAAGATACACTAATTATTTTAAAATAAAAGACCCAAAACATACACTATTACCTTCTTACCTTATTATTTCTTAGCTTGAACTGACACTAGTCTACCAAGCTTGCAAACACCCACTGTGCTGTGCTTGTTGAAATCAAGTTTCTCATAAAGCTAAATGAGGAATGCATTATATCAAGTTTTCTCCAAGATAATAAGGATCGAGGTTCAAAGTCAGCCTGAGAACGAAAGGCCGTGAGATTCGATCTCCAATTAACCATCATAAAAAACAGAAGTGGAGCTGTGGCTTGAAGTGGTAGAGCACAAGCCTTAAGCAAAAAAAAAAAGTCTCAGGGGAAATGCCCAAGCCTTGAGTTCATGACTAACAAAAAAATAAAATAAAATAAAAATCCTACTAAAATGAAGAGAAAGAAGTGGGGAGGAAAAGCGTCTGCTTACCAACAGGTCTTCCTCTACAGTCCCTGCCCCGTCCTCCTTCAGAAGGATCCTGGAGAGGTGGTGCTCACAGGTGGAGAGCACATCCCCACACACGTGCTGCATCAGCTCCTAGAGCAAATCACAGGTCGCTTCTGAAGTGTCCCACACAGCTCCTGAGTGGCCCACCTCAGAGCCTGTAGGATCTTCAAATGCACAAAAGGCCCAACCATTTCATGCAGCTTTCCTCTCCCCTCGTTTAGCCAACCACACAACCCACTCTTAGCCACCTGGCTATGGGAACTGGCTAAGGGAAATTTCAGACAGCAGTGTAGTAACAACATGGCACTCATCAATGTTTGCCAAACTATAGGATAACCAATATAAACAAAACGTGGTTGTTGTTGTTGTTGGGTTTGTTTTTTCTGACATAGCCTAGAATGTTTCAAAACTTTCTTTTTTTTTTTATAAAATCTTTTTGGTATTACTATGGGGGGCTTGAACCCAGGGCCTCACACTCTAACTTGGCTTTCTTATACAAGGCTGCTGCTCTACCATACCTCCACTTCTGTAGAGAAAAAAAAAAAAAAAACTGCACCTAAAATTTTAATAGGGGTATATCCAAACCACCACATGTTGACTAAGAGAGTTGCTGAAATATAGCTGATGAGGAGAATGAGGCTAATTTGTAGGAAAGTTAAAGACTAGAATTTGGTGTGGTCTGAATAATAACTCTGAATTAGAGCACGAAAAAGCAGTCAAGACCAAGGCTAGGATTCACTCCACATAGAGGCTCATGTCACGGATGGCCCAGATTCTCATGAACCCATGTGGCTGGGGATATGTGCTGAGCAAGTCCCTTCGCTTTAGGTGAACCTCAGTAAGGGGCTTCTGTTGGCCCAAATTTGTCTCCTTGTAATTCCTACCCTATTGGTACAACTGGGACCTCTGGGCATAGAAAACACACACACACACACACACACACACTTCTTTTACTTGAAAGTTCTTCATATATATTAACATAGCTAGGTGGTCCATCCTACATAACTTTTCCCCTCTCCATGCTGAATCCTCTGTTAGGCCTTCAGTGGATCCTTATATAACTTTCTTGGTAGCCATCACATCTTGGTAGCCATCACATTGAACTGTTCTCAGATGACATCTAAGTCCATCATTGCTGAGATAAATTATAAAACTTGTCAATTTCGAGTTAACCAGGCAAAGAACAGAACTATCACTCTTCTTCTCCTAAACACTATTTCTACTAAAACACTCCAAGAACTCATCTAGATTGTAATGGTGGCCATAAAAGACCACTAACTCATACCAAACTCATAGATAACAAAAATATATCAAAGACCTAAGTCTTTTCATATATACTGTTGTATATATGGGGTAATTTCTTGTATTTTGTAACATACAAAAGATTCATTTACAGAGAAAAAGAAAAGTATGTTTAGAGGAAATGAACTAATACCAATAAACAATAAACAATTTTGAGGAAATCAGGGGTGTTATTCCATTGCCTCCCACTAGGTGGCGTTGGGAGGGGGTGGTATTGGCCGAAGTTCATCCTGCTTCTACCTTACAGGTTCTACCTTTTTGTCTTTCTCCCAGGCTCTAATAATAATATAGCATACTGTTCTAATAACTATACCTTCCAAGTAAGTAAATGACTTAGGATCCTGACAGCCCACCTCAGAGATAATTCTTTTTCCAGCTAGTGCTGGTGAAAAGAAAACTGGAGAAGGTATCAGAGACATTTAAGTCACAACTCAGCCATAGGAAAACTAGTATGACGGACCCTATCTAGGTCAGTTTCAAAACTGCCTTAGACTTTCCCATTTTCCTCCATTTCACAATCCTTATTCTTACTAGACTCAAAACAGAACCTTTATGCTTGAGACTATGAAAATATGCTCCTTTAAATGATTCTTATTCAAAAGCTCTTTATACAGTTTCTTGGGTCCTGAGATAAAAGGTTAGAAAAAGAACACAAGAATTCCTTTTGCTAATGGAAGTGCTGAAAGGCAGACACTAGGAAAATACTAGCCACTATTTACATAAAAAAAAATAGCTGAAGTTTTTTTTTTTGTAAGCTAAGTGCATCCTGATATTTAAGTTGTAAGCAAGAAAGTTATAATACATTACTGTATCTGATCTGTTATTATAAGCAGACAATGTAACATATAAAGAGACTTACAGAAACATAGGAAAAGAGGGACGATAACTAGGTAGCAAGATGAAGATTTTTTTAAATTAATTCTGGAAAACTTAAGTATATTCCAGCAATTACTTAATTAATCAGCAACCTCTATAATCATTATTAAATAGCCATAGCACTATGATTTCTCATTCTGATTAGTACTGTCTAGGAATCTCTTATGATAAAAACAGAAGACACAGGGTTGGGAGGATTTTTTATAGATACTGCAGTGAGTATCTTTCAAGGGAGTCAAAACAAGTCTCTTCCCCACAAGTCACTGATTTGGATGTATGACCATGTATCTACATAAATAAATATATGTGTATATAACTATATGTATATATAACTATACATATATGTGCATATGTACACATATATGTATATGTGTATAGTTATATATACATAGTTATACACATATATATTGTGTATATAGCTATATATACATATAGTTATATACACATATGTTTATTTATATATGTTATATGTATACAGATATACATATACATGTGTATATATATTATATATATATATATATATACACATATGTATGTATATATATTTATTTAAACCCACCAGCTATAGGCTACCGAACTACTTGGGGACATGATATCACCAAGAGATATTTGATTAATGTAATCTCACAGTAACTGGACAGGGATCTCTCAGGATTATGATTTATCAGAAGATCAAAAGCCATCTGGTGTGCAGGGAACTCTCTGCTTAGGCGAAAAAGCCATGCATTAAATGTTCCTAGAATGAGGGATAATCTTGCAGCATTCTAACCAGGAAATGAGTGTCAGCCAGCTGGTACACCTTACTAAAAGCCTGAAGCCAAGGTGGGGCTGTCTAAGGGAAGCACATCTGTAGTGGCCAGATCTTGTTGGGGAAGAACCTGCAGGCTTCCATAAGCACCGCCTTGTAGCAGTGGCTTCCTAGAGTATTCAGAACACGCTTCCATCTTTAATACATGAGCAACACGTCCACGTCCAAGTACAAGGAAGAAACATGGCAAGGGAGCGGGGTGCCATACCTGTTCTTCTGCAGGCGTCCTTGCAGACGCTCTACACAGCATCTGCAAAGTATCAACAGCCGAGCTGATCACCTCCAGAGACCAATGAAATCCATTCAGCTTGTTCTTGATGACATCTATTATGAAAGTCAATACCTTTAAAGTTCACCTTCTTAAAAGTACTTTACAAATACACAAGTGAACAACAATGCTTTTTCAAGAAAGGTTCTTCAAGGGAAACTCACCCGTCACCTTGTCCCGTATGCTCTTAGGAAGATGTTTAGCAATATGTCCCATGACACACAGTATATGTCCTAAGGTGTTAGAATTTGGATTCTGCTGACTAGAGAAAAAGGAGAAACGCCGTGACAGAACCACACTCAACATTCTGCTGCCAACAAAATGCTTTTTCTTCTTGATTATTAATATAGGAAGTTTATGATTTGGGAGTTAAGCTGTAGGAACATTAAATTGCCTAATGAACCTGGACAAAGGGTAAATTGACCACTGCAATGTGATCCTTCCCCCCCCCCCCCCCCCCCCGCCCTGGAGTTTGAACTCAGAACTTCATATTTGCTAAGCAAGGCCTACCAGTGAGTTACACCCCCAGCTCTTAAGTAATTCTTGAGGTTCCCATTCATAATCCTAGCTACTTAAGAGGCTGAGATCTGAGGATCCTGGTTCAAAGCCAGCCTGGGCAAAGATAAACCATAGACTCTTATCATCAATTAAACAAAAAAAGCTGGAATTGAAGCTGAAGTGGTAAAGCACCAGCCTTGAGTTTTGGAAAAAGCCAAGCAAGAGCACAAGGCCCTGAGTTCATGTTCATTTTTATGCCAGAATTTAAACAGAAGCTCTCTGTTCAATGACCATCAGTGATGAGAGGAACTATGGTAAGAGCATGCAAACCTGCTGACTCTCTCCCAGGACTGCATTATCCTTGTGTGATCCAGTTGGGGTGATGAGGAGGCAATCTTGGACAGCAGCATCCAGGCTGGTATGGAGTGTTCCATGCCAGTGTGAGATACCACATTATTTATAAACGTGGTTGAGAACTTGTCTTGCTTCGACCATATATGAAAAGCCTTATTTAAGTAGCGGCTGGAAAAAAAGCGGGGGTGGGGGGGAAGAATCGTAAGTATATAAAACTGTATCAACTTCAGCAGCTGCAGGATCTCATTGGCACCTAAAATATCTATGCAAAGGATCTAGCTACTAGCATATCTGACCAAAAGAAACTAGGTATTTTCTTTAGATCTTTTACAGAGTAAGATGTGATTATTTTGCCCTTCATAAATTATTTATTCTTTAAAGCAAAGAATATAACTTCACAGATAACCATGGTAGCTCATGCATGTACTCTTAGCTACTTGGGAGGCAGAAATTTGGAAGTCTGGGGTTAGGAGACAGTCTGGGCAAAAACTTAGCAAGCTGCCAATATTAGCTAGGCAGGGTGGCCTGTGCCTGTCACCCCAACTATGTGGGCAGTGTAAATGGGAAGGCTGTGGTCCAAACTGACCTGTACGGGGGGCGGGGGAGGGGGGGGAGTAGGACCTTATCTGAAAATAAAGCAAAAAGAAGTATGGCTCAATTTATAGAGCATCTCCCTACTAAGCATGAGTTGCTGAATTCAAACTTCAGTACTACATGAAACAAACAAAATTTGTTAATTTATTTGAGACCTTTCTTACCTACATCCCAACGACATTTATACACAAACATCTGACATGGAGAATGATGGAAGGGTAACGTTGATACAGATGCATTGTACATAGGACCATATATAATGAAGTATATCAAAATGAACTTCAAGAATTAGAAGTAAGAGGTTCTTATTATGTCCTGTATATAGTTATTTCTATTTTTTTGTCATATATGTTTATCTGGTCTGTGGAAGGGAAGGGGAATCACAGAAACATCAGGACAAAGGATGAACCAATTCCAAAATGGCACTCACTAGACACTATGTTGGAAATGAACTTTACAATCTGGGGGGGAAGGGAGTAGGGAGTGGTAAGCAGAAGAAAATGAGGGAGGGGTTAACTGTTTAAAAAAATGTATGCATTACCTTATATAACTGTAACCCCCTGTTCATCACCTTTACAATAGGTTTTTAAAAGATGTATTGTACATATAAATTGGCAAGTTGAACTGAAACTCCTTTAGGCAAATAAGAGAAGCCCTGTTAGATGATAGGTAATATGATTGGTTAGGCTTAGTGTTGAAGATGTAACCCTGGGGCTTGAATTCAAGGCCTAGAAGCTCTTGCTAACTTTGCATGGTTGCTCTACCACTTGAGCCACACTTCCATTCTAAGATGTAACCTTTTCCGTTTAGAAGCATGTTATGGGTTGAAGTGTATTCTTCTAAAATTCCTATGCTGAATGAAGCCCTACTTTCTTTTTTTTTTAATAAGTTTTTTTATTGTGAAAATACTGTACAGAGGTGTTACAGTTACATGATCAAGGTAATGAGTACATTTCTTATCAAGCATTGTTGCCTGAAGTCCTACTTTCTATAATGTTAGCACATGACGGCACCTGCAGCATGGCCTTGGAAGAACTGATGAAGTCCATCTGGGCTCAACCTAATCCAAGCTGACAATTGTCCTCCCAAGAAGAGGCTTGGAAACCCAGAGACCCTAGGACAGGCATGTCCACAGAAAAGGACCCTGCAAGGACAAAGAAAGGCAGCGGCTCTCTGCAAGCCTAGGAGAGGCCTCAAGAGAAAGCAAAGCTGCTGAAACCTTAATCTTGGAATTCTAGATCCAAACTAACTGGGGCAGACTAAGTCTCTATTACTGAAGCTACCCAGAACATGACAGTTCTGCTATAGCACATCTAGCAAACTAATACCAGGGACTATATCAAAACTCAATTCAAAACACATCTAGACAAAGCCAGGTGGTAGTGACTCACACTTATAATCCTAGCTACTCAGGAGGCTGAGATTAGAGGATTGTGGTTTAAAGCCACCCCATGCAGGAAAAGTCTGAGAGGCTCTTATCTCTAACTAACCACAAAAAGCCCAAAGTAGAGCTGTGGTAGAGCACTAACCTTGAACAAAAAAGTTGAGGGACAGCATCAAGGCCCCTAAGTTCAAGCCCCAGTACCGAGTTCAAGCCCGAGTACCATCACAAAAACCAAACCAAATAAAAACACATCAGGACATTTATGCCTTTTAATAAAGGTATACTATAAAAGTCTTTACTATGTAGTTACATCAGTTAGTGTAGATGCTTTCTTTCCATTCAGTTTTTCAAAAACTCACTTTTTACATACAAATAAAAAAGGCCAAGAATAAAGAAGTTAACACTAAAAAGCTACAAAGGGGCAGGGAAAAGACAGATAGAATTCCTATACAGCAACAATTACTACACCTGTGATACTGACACACAAAAAAAGGAATGGATATGTGAAGGGAGTAAAACAGAAGAGACAACTGGGAACTGAAATTACAAACACTTGTTATAAAGATGATACTGCAAAGTAGGCAACATAGGATGCTCTTTTCAATTAGCATTTCCAGATTAATAGATCTTTATTTAAAAAAAAATCAAAATTGATTCCTAACTAGTATGATGCACAAAAGTCAGTGGCAGTAAGTTAAAGGCTGAACACTAAAGGAAAAGGAAAAACAAATCAGACTTCTAGGAGATTATATAGACAAAACTCTACGGTGAGGGCTGGGAATGTGGCTTAGTGGTAGAGTGCTTGCCTAGCATGCATGAAGCTCTGGGTTCTATTCCTCAGTATCACATACACAGAAAAAGCCAGAAGTGGCACTGTGGCTCATGTGTAGAGTGCTAGCCTTGAGCAAAAGAAGCTTAGGGACAGTGCCCCAAGCCCTGAATTCAAGCCCCAGGACTGGCACAAAAAACAAAAACCCAAAATACTCTATGATGAGAACAGATTTTTTTTTTTTCTTTTGTTTTTGGTTCTATTACTAGGGCTTAAACTCAGGGGCTCAAGCTCTTGTTCATCTTTTATACTTATAGCAGATGCTCTGTCACTTGAACCACATCTCTACACATATCTCCACTTTTTGCTGGTGAACTAAAGATAAGAGTCATATATTTGTCTACCTAGACTGGCTCTGAACTTTCAGAGTAGCTAGTATTAAAGGTGTAAACCACTGAGATCTGGCCAAAAGCAGATTTATTGAAAAATACAGTAACCAGAAAGGAAACTACTCACAAATTGAACTTATCACAAATATCACTAAAAGCTGGGTGTGATGCCTGAAATCCATCACTTAGGAGGAAGTAGGACTGTGAATTCAACTACAGCCTGAGTGACATAGTGAAACCATCTCAAAAACAAAACAAACAAGGCCTTATCTCAGTGGCAGAGCATCTGTCTAGTATGCACAAGGCAATGGGTAGCATACAAATATTCATAGTAGATCTAAGTAAAGACCTGGAAGCAACTCAATTATCTATCAAAGTGGTTGAACAAGTTTACATTCCCACCAACAATGAAGTAAGGTTCCTTTCTGTCCACATCCCCTCCAGCATCTGTTGTTGTTAGAGTTCTTGATTTTTGCTGTTCTAACTGGAGTGAGGTGATATCTCAATGTTGTTTTGATTTGCATTTCTTTTATGGCTAGGGATGTTGAACATTTCTTCATGTGTCTATTGGCCATCCTTCTTTCTTCTTCAGAGAAGCTTCTCTTTAAGTCTTTCGCCCACTTACTTATTGGGCAGTTGTTTCTTTGAGGATTTGTTGTTGGGTGGTTTAATTTTTTGAGTTCCAAGTATATTTTAGATATGAGACCCTTGTCCGTTGTATGGCTAGTAAAGATCTTCTCCCAGTCCGTGGGCTTTCTATTGATCTTGCTAGCTATGTCATTTGCCCTGCAGAAGCTGTCCCTCCCCCACAGTGTAACCCCCGCTTTCACTATATTTGATGTCAGTATAACATGTGGAGGAGATGGGGACAAACAAGTCGTTTAAGGATTCAGGTGGACCTGTTGCAACAATGAGAAGTACAAAATGTCATGTCAAAACCAGCTTTACAATGTCGGTGGGGGGGGGGGGGGGGGTGGGAGGGTATGATTGGGTGGGAGGGAGGGGGGAGGCTGGGAAGGGAGGTGAAGGGTAAACAAAGGAGGAGGCTGCAATGCTGGGTAAGAAATGTATGCATTATCCTGCCCATGTAATTGTAACCCCTCTGTACAGTATGTTCTCAAATAAAATAAAATAAAATTTAAAAAAAAAAAAAATTATCTATCAAGTGTAGAATAAATTATTTGTGGCTGAGTCATAAATGCCATATCTATGTGTGTTTGTATTTTCATGATAATGAAAATGAATAAGCTGTATACATAGTAACATTTCAAATAATGATGAATGAGGCCAGATTTACAAAACATACCACAGAATTCCATTTCTGTAAAGTTGCAGAATAGAAGAAAGTAATATGTAATGTTAAAATCACAGGATTGGCTGCACCGGAGGAGGAGGGAGGGCTGCTAAATGGAAGGAAATGAGGTATGAGTGGCAAGGGCATTTCTTGGGCCCAGTGCTGAGTAATGCTCTATCGCTTGACCTTGGATAAACACATTTTCTTAGTTCTTACTAACCTTATGGTTTGCTATTTTCTAGACATGCTTTACTAAGTTTAAAAATAGAAAAAATGAAATGACCCCTACCTCCAGCATCTTCCCATGTAAAAATGGCTACTACCTTTTATCACTTTACCACTAAGCTTTAACACGCTGAGTAAGTGCGCTAACATTTCCCTATGAAGCAGCAGATTCTAATGCTTCTGGGACTTAGCAAAGCATTTAGTTAGTATAGAGACAACATCTGAGTAAGTGCACTATCAGTAATAAGAGTTTTCATACCAAAAAGGACCTTAAGACATGGTATAAACAAGCTGGGTGCCAATGGCTCATGCCTAGAATCCTAGCTACTCAGGGGGCTGGGACCTGAAAGATCACAGTTCATAGCCAGGCTGGGGAGGAAAGTCCATGGGACTCTTATTTCACACTAACCACCCAAAAAGCTGGGAATGAAATTATAGCTCAAATGGAAAACCACAGCCTTGAGAAAGAAAAAAAAAAAAAGTGTAATATACTGAGCGGCATTTCAAAATGAAGAAACTAAAGCATAGAAGAAACAAATGATTTTCCAGTCAGTCTCTGGTGACTCACACCTATAATCCCAGGTATTCAGTACAGGCTGAGATCTGAGGATCACAGTTTGAAGTCAGCCTGGGCAGGAAAGTCTGTCAGACTCTTATCTCTAATTAATCACAGAAAAGCTGGAAATGACTGCTGTGGCTCAAGTGGTAGCGTACTAGCCTTGAGCAGAAAGGAGCTCAGGGACAGTGCCTAGGCCAAGCTTGAGCCCCAGGACTTGCAAAAAAAAAAAAAAGAGAAAGAGACAGAGAGAGAAAAAAGAATGATTTTCCAAGGCCAGAGAGTAGCAGTTTATGACACAAAATCTACTACTTCTTCTAGCATATAATTCCTCCATATCCAAATGTTAAAGAAATGTATTTTAAAAAAAACAACAACAAAAAACAGTTCACAACAGAGCTCAAACACAAACAATCATTCTGAGGTACAGATTAAAATGTATCATCATAAATCCTAAATCATAACAAGATACAATATACATAGTATATAGTCAGTATGTTATCAAATGGAAAAAAATATTCAGTGTTATTAAATACCTTTCCAAGGAAACAGGGGAAAAAAAAAACAACACGTCAGTTTAACTTGCAAAAACTTGCAGTCACCTTTCAGCCAGTATTGGGAAAGGTACATTGATAGGTTGTTACTATCAGTTACAGCCATTTGTACTACATATGAACATACCAACCTAAAACCAGAAAGCAATAGAAGTGATCACCAGAACCTGTAAGCAGTCAGTCAGGCATATGATGCTATGAGATGTGAATAAGTCAAGAAAAAAAGAAAAAAACAGACCAAGATTAAGCGTTCACATTTTTAGGTAACTTGGAGAGCTGATGGTCCAAGCTGAGAAACATAAGCCATATACAGTTAACTGACCTCAGTTCCTGGCTTTCTGTGGTGAGAAGAGTAAGAAGTGCCCATGCAAGTGCCTGGCTGCCATCCCCAGCGTGAAATTTGCTGGGGTGCGTAATGTGCTGCAGCAGGAGCTGGTCCAGGCACTCCAGGGCCTTCTCCTGCACAGTGCTCTCTGAGTCCATCACCACTGGGATGATGCCTGCCAGCCAGGCCTTTTGGATCGACACACATTTTGGTTTTGCCTAAGGGTTGAAAAATGACTACATTAGAAGGTTTGAGCTGGGCATCAGTGTTTTACACCTCTAATCCTAGCTACTCAGGAGGCTGATATCTGAGGATCACAGTTCAAAGCCAGCCCAGGCAGTAAAGTCTGTGAGACTCTTATCTCTAATTAACCACCAGAAAACCGGAAGTGGCGCTGTGGCTCAAGTGGCAGAGTGCTTGCCTTGAGCTGAAGAGCTCAGGGATAGCACCCAGGCCCAGTTCAAGCCCTACAACCAACAAAAAGGGAAAAAAAAAAAAAGAAGGTTTGATAGAGATAAATCACATCTATGGGGCTACAGACAGAGGTAGAGTATGTACTTTGCATGCTTGAATCCCCAGGGTGCAATCTTAGCACTAGGAAAAGACAAAATTGTGCCTGTGATTACAAAAGGAGCAGAAAGGAGAAATAAAAAGCACTGGGGGAAAAATATGACTTACTTCAAAACATACTGAAAATTTAAACTTAGACATTGAAGTCACTATTTTATTATTAGTAATCAGTGCTTTTTTGGGCATTTAAAACTAAAAGCAAATAATATTTATCCCAGGGAACAATTAGAATAAATGCTGACAGAGAAAGTCAAAACATGCTGTGCATTAAGCCTTCTCTCATGAAATAAAAAAAAATAATTACCCTTTCAAAAGTCTTCAACAGTTAATTAGTTGAGAGAAGTATATTGTAGATAGCATTATTAGGATCTGTTCTTTTGGCAACATCCTCTACATATATCTTAACTGACAAAAATTACTCTAGGCCTCTAGCTTAACCAACTTAATTTTAACATTTCATTTTCTGAGATTCAGGATGAAATCAATGGCATTAGCATGGCTTAGCATTAGTTTCTAACAATATTTAACAGTAGGCAGCTATCAAATGTAATGGAAAGATTCCTTTTTTCTTACATTGTTGATACACCACAATGAATTACTAGGTCCTTTTCTTTTCTCTCTTTTTTTTTTAAATTTTTTCTGGTGCTGGTACTGGGGCTTGAACCCAGGGACTGGGCACTGTCCCTGAGATTTTGGCTCAAGGCTAGCACTCCACCACTTGAGCCACAGCTCCATTTCCATCTTGGTAGTTCCTGACTACCCACTTGACATTTATCAACAGGGTAATTATTATGCAGAATTACTTTTTAAGTGAGTAAAAAAAAGAGAAATCTAAGCTGGGGATCAAACTGTGGCCTCGTGCACGTAAAACATGTGTTTTATCACTCAGCTATCGCCCAGCCTCAGCATTATTTTTAGTGTAAAATATCATGCATTACACACATATGCCTCTCACCAAAAGCAGCTCAGTAAGAGATTGTAAGGCCTGCTTCCGGACAGACACTGCAGGGTCCCGGCAGTGGTTCTGCAGGATTGACAGGTCCTCCTCCATACCCAAGATGTCACAGTGTTTCAAAATGCTCACCAACACCTAAAAGTCAGACAGACGGCATCAAATGATAACCACATGGCATAAATATTGGGAAGACTGAAAGCAGATAATGGGAAACCTTTACTTTGTGATTTGCAACATTTTTGAGATCATACATCCATACCACCTTCCTACAGCATTCCACCCTCCAGAGTATCTGGCAGTTAAGACCTCTCTCCAGAAAACATTTAACATAAACAAATATTTGCAATTAATTTCGTAAACCTGTTGAAAATTCATCCATAATCCCCCTATTCCAAACAAACCAAATTACACAAAAAAATTTATGGTTGATAAAATGCCAGCGACCTTTTTATTAGCAGGAAAGTTTGAAAAGAGGATATTCTTCCAGTTCATCTATATAATTTATATGTAACAGAGTCAGTGATAAAAAAGCAAGTCAAATAATAAATAGGGTCTTGCCATTTAAAAACTTATCCCTTGCATTTCTATGTTTTTAGTACTTCAAACTGGAACAAATTTAAAATGTGTAGGGTAAGCCCGGACCTGCAGTGCACACTTCCTGACGTTGATCTTCTCATCCCTGATTCTCATCCTCAGCATCGCCAGGACACATCTCTCTGTTGAGAGAACATCAAAGAATTACAGGCTTGAAGAAGAGCAGACAGTAGCTTATAGCTCACCATTCAAAACTGCAAAAGAATACTTCTCTTGCTGACTCACTAATTAGCTCCTCCCAATCCCCAGAAATCAGAGCATGAAAAGGTACGTTAGAAGAAAATTTGAATAATTAATTCACTATCAAAAGTGTAAATTTTGGAATATTAAACTATGATTTTAAATTCTAGTTCCCACTTCTAAAATCCTACATGATTTTGCTTCCCTATTGTGTTTAGCTGCAAATGGGAATATCTAACCTACAGAGTTGTTTAAAACATTTAGACCATAATCTTTTTTTTTTTTTTTTTTTGTCTGTCATGGGACTTGAACTCTGGGCTTGGACGCTATCCCTGCGCTCTTTATCTCAAGGCTAGCACTCTACCACTTGAACCACAGCACCACTTCCGATTTTCTAGTGGTTAATTGGAGATAAGAGTCTCACAGACTTTTCTGCCTGAGCTGGCTTTGAACCATGATCCTCAGATCTCAGCCACCTCAGTAGCAAGGATTACAGGCATGAGCCACTGGCACCAGCTGTTTAACACATTTAGATAAGTGACATATAATATAGTTTCAAACACACCATTATGCCAAGCATCAGTGGCTCACATTTGTAATCCTAGCTTCTTAGCTGGCTGAGATTTTAGGATTGTGGTTCAAAGCCAGCTTGAGCAGGAAAGTCTATAAGACTCTTACCTCCAATTAAGCACCAAAATAGGTGGAAGTAAGCTCTGGTAAATGATAGAGCACTAACGTTGAGCACAAAAGCTCGTAGTGTATTAATATATATATATACATAAAATATCTATAGGATAATATAATGATATCAATTAAAGACAGTAGAAATTACTTGGCTTTTAAGAAAAGTTTCCATTCTTAAAGGTGACTTAATCAGAAAATAGTCCAAAGTTGCTAGACTTTCCCTTGGCTCTCTGAATGCAACAGCATTGCCACGTGAGCGTGAGGATGTGTGACATACCCTCAGACCCAGCTCTCTCACTGTTGTTTGTGTTCACCTCCTCAGAGGCTTCACAAGTGGTAGGCGTCTGCTTCCGATAGCAAAACCCTATTTTTAAAAAAGGCACTCATTAAGACACATATTGCTACTTTTCAATAGTATAAACACAACATGTTACTCAAGTATGACATTATTAATGAACTGAATTTCAAATTCTTTAATCAAGAAAGACATTAAAACAGGCAAATACGGAGGCAGAAAAAAACAACACCAACATTTCAAATAGCCAGTCTTTTTACAAGCCAGTTATTCAACACCTGGCGCGTTCATTACCTGATGAATTTCTCAGTAAGGTACCAGTGTCACTCTCTATTCTTGAAATTAAAGGACCTAAAAATAAGTAGACAGATACAAGGGAAAGAGATCATAAATCACTTGGAAATAGCCACAGAAGAATCAAAATCAAGATTAATTAGGCCGATAGACAAAGCAGACAGACCCTAAATTACAGACAATTAATAATGTTCTCTCCTTTCTTTAAAAAGATCTTTCAAGTATGTCAGGCTTCACTATTTAAAAAGTAATTTGAAGCTAGGCCTATAACTCAGTGACTGCATACATGCTTAGCAAGCACAAGGCCTTGGGTTACATTCTCATCATCAAAAAGGGAACAGAAAAGTCATCTGATAATGAGATATACTGAAAGAAGTTTATAAGAGTAAAGTTAATCATGTATTTTTTTTCCATCTCCCCATCCCCGCCTCCCCCCCACCACCCTGTACCCCTAGATGATGGTCTATTTACAGTCTATCTCGATCTTCACTTTCTGGTATGCCTCTTGTACATGCCAGGACAAGTACTTTACCACTGAGCTCCTCCCCCAGCCCCCACTTACTGGTAATGAGGATCTCCAGCACACTTTCAGGTGCACTGCTCACAGACAAATCCAGACAGTGTGCAAAGCTGGACAGGGCCTTGCTGCGGACAGTAGGTGCTTTGTCTAAACAACGGTCAAACATAATCTCTTGCACCAGGAACTTATGCTTTAAGAGCTTCTGATGCTCCAAAGAGACCGTGTCATCTGCTTCTCTTTCAGGAAGCTCTAAGAGAGCTAGAGCAACATCGAGAGTAAAAACTCGGTGTGGGACCTGTAAGGCAAAATCATAAGAATCACTGTCAGATAGGACTAAGAACCAAGGAAAACCCTCTCCTGCAGTCAGATCTGGCTGTCAGAGGTCTATACAGCCAGGATTCAAGACTACATGCAAGCATATCTCATACCTTGGAACTGCGAGAGTATTTGTAAAGCCAGGAAATGAATGTAGCATATTCTCCACAAGGAAGTTTACTCAATAGCTGGACCAGAGACTGGGCTGCAGAGGTCCGATACTCTGATTTATCTATCACCTGAAACATAAAATTAGAGAAGCTGTCTAGCCAATAATCACCTGCAGGACAACTGAACCCTATGTAGGAATGCACATTAAAAACTACTGAGCATAATAAGCTCAATGATCTTTAAATGTTACATGAATGACTACTGAAATTTAAGGTTTCAAACTCCGTTGGAAACTAAATTATACCTACTCATAGTGGTTCATGCCTACAATCTCAGGAGGATATTTTCAAGGCCCAGGCAAAAGTTAGTGATATCCTATCTCAAAAACAAGCTGGGTATAGAAGTACATGAGTGAGGTCAAGAAGCAGAGTTAAGAATATTACAATTTGAGGGGCTGGGAAGGTGGCTCAGTGGTAGAGCGCTTGCCTTGCATGCATGAGGCCCTGGGTTCGATTCCCCAGCACCACATAAGCAAAAAGAAAAAAAGAATATTACAATTTGAGACCAGCCAGGGCAAAGATATCACAAGACTCTAATCTGAAAAACAAACAAACAAAAAACAAAAGCAAACTTAAAAGAACCAATGTTGTGGTCCTGAGTTCCAGCCTCTTTTACACACACACACACACACACACACACAAAACAAATATAGACATACAAACACAATCCTTCAGAACCTATGCATCTTTAGGATCCATAAAATTCAAAGTATGAATATTTATCCACCAGATACTGGTGGCTCATTCCTGTAATCCTATCTGCTCAGGAGCCTGAGATCTGAGGATTGAGGTTCAAAATCAGTTCAGGTAGAAAGAAAAAAGACTCTATCTTGCCAGATGCAGTGGCTCACGCTTGTAATCCTAGCTACTCAGGAGGCTGGGATCTGAGGATCGCAGTTCAAAGCCAGCCCAGGCAGGAAAGTCCATGAGACTCTTATCTCCAATGAACCACCAAAAAAACAGAAGTGGTCCTATGGCTCAAGTGGGAGAGTGCTCACCTTGAGCTGAAGAGCTCAGAGACAACGCTCAGGTCCAGAGTTCAAGCCCCATGAGCAACAAAAGCAAACAAACAAACAAAAAATGACTCTATCTCCATTTAACTGGCAAAATGACTAGAGGCAGGTCCCAAGTGGTAGAGTGCCAGCTTCAAGCTTCTGCTTATCTTTTTTTTTTTTTGTCGGTCGTGGGGCTTGAACTCTGGGCCTGGGCCCTGTCCCTCAGCTCTTCAGCTCAAGGCGAGCGTTCTACCACTTGAGCTACAGCACCACTTCTGGTTTTCTGGTGGTTTATTGGAGATAGGAGTCTCACGGTCTCTCCTGCCCGGGCTGGCTTTGAACCGCGATCCTCAGATCTCAGCCTCCTGAGTAGCTAGGATTACAGGTGTGAGCCACCAGCCCGGCGCTTCTGCTTATCTTTTTAAAGCTAAGTAAGAGTTCAAGGCTGGGAATTCAAGCCCCACCCAGCATAGACACAAGAAAAAAAGTCATTAATAGCAACACAGGGTGGCACACACCTATAATCCTACCACTCAGGATTCAAATTGGAGTTCAAGACCAGCCTAGGCTACATAGCATAATCCACCTCAAAAAGAAAAATAACTCAGTTTATTTTTTTAAATAAAACTAATGCTTTGTAAATCAGGCTTCCCTGTATTCCACCACACAGAAGCTGGAAACAGAAGGACTGTAAATCAGTCTGGGTTACAATGTGAGACCCTACCTCACACCCCACCCTATTCCCAAAAGAACACTGGTTAGAAAAACATGTAGTATTAACTATAGCTACTTTTAGTAATGACACATTCATTCCCAAAACCAAGCAGACACATTTATCTTCATTATGTTATATACATTATTATTATTATTGTTACTATTATAATTTACTAAAGCAAATGGTACCTTGGCACAGATGTGTTGCAGCAAAATGCGAAGGACTGGGAATATACTTTCCTTCAGTTCATCCACAAGTGCACTAGTTAAGGGAAAAACACATATCCATTATTTATAATCTATCCGTTATTACAACAGAATGGTGATTTTCCTTACTTCTTGTGTTCAAAACTCATTGCCCTTAAATTTTAGAGATGCTAACTACTAAAAAACCCCACACTTTCCCCCATGTTACAACAGCTGTTTAAGAATGAGTTTTTGAGCCCTGTCACTAAGCAGCTGTCATCAGGGGGAAAAAAGTACAATTTGTTACAGTTCTTTTGGCTATTTATTAAATTTCATATTAAGATATAAAATATAACCTTTTCGGATAAATATCAGAACAGACTACACAGTACCACCTTGTGGCAGTTCAATGAAATGACTTCACTCCAAATTGTTACTAGGAAGAATTCATTATAGTGTCCAGAGGATCATTTTTAGCCTAAGTTATTTGTATCGTTGTATAAACATTACTGTAACTGGCCAAGCAACAGTGTTTCACTAAAACATCTTGTTTAATTTTCAGTGTTTAAAAATATTCCTCCAACAGAAGCACTGGACACTTCAGAAGGTCACAATAAAACTGTAATCCCCTTATACAACCTTTTGAGGTTCAAGGGGAAAAAAATAAATTAAAAAAAAATCCTCACCAAGAGACCTTTGTTGTGACCAAATGATATGATCCACACCCCATATCTATCTCTAAACACATTACCAGATACACAATGAAGATGCATTTGCTCCTGTACCCCTCTCACCATCTCTCCCCTGACAGCCAGTGAAGGAGGAAAGAAAAGCCAAGGACACAGCAAATACTCCTTTCTCAATAAAGCTAACATGCAACTTTTAGAGTAAAGCTGATTTGTGACAGAAAAAACAATCTATCAAAATTGCTAAGGAACTAAAAGCATTTAGGTGTTTTCCTTCAGAAAGTACTCTCTAGGGGTGCTGGAAAGATAGGAAAATGGGAAGAAAAAGCAAAAAGAACAAAAGCAAAAAGATGCAAGTAGAGGAATAGAAAGGAGGAAGTGGAGGTAGGGTTCTTTCTCTGTGGAGAGGGTGACCGCCTTTGCAGAGAGAGATAGAAGTGTCCCCAACATGTCCCCAACACAGGCTAATGGCATTTCCTTAGCGATGTCCACACAGTGGCTACCAAATTGTGACCCAGACCCTGAGAACACAATTAGCTAGGAAGAACTCTATTTTTCATCACAAAACTACTACTGGTTGCAATCAGATATTCCAAAGTTGTCAGAAGTCTTGGTTAGCACTGGGCCCACACAACTGAGGGAGAGGGATTAAAAAGTTAAAAAAGAAAAATCAAGACTTTTGCGCTTCACCTGATAAACTGGACAGCTTGGTTTCTTCGACTAATGACTTGTGATGTAATAGGCAGGGGGGCGTGATGAGATCTTTTGCCTACTTCTAACATCAATATTACATTTAGCATTTGATGGAAAATATAGGCAATAACCTGGAAGAGAATAGAAAATTCCATTTTGACTGTAATACAGAGCTCCAGGGTCTCAAAGACAGTGATTTAACTAAAGTAAAAACCATTTAAACCCTCTGGAGATAGGTCAGATGAATAGAATTTTTGGTAGAGCATTAGGGACAGGTTTCTTGGACAACTCTCAGGTGTTAAAAAAAAAAAAAAGAACCTTTAAAAAATTTATTTATTTATTTATTTATTTAATTTGTTGTTGGTGCTGAAACTTGAACTCTGGGCCTGGGCTTTTGTACTCAAGGCTAGTGCTCTTCCATTTAAGCCACAGCTCCACTTTTGGCTTTTTGTGGTTACCTGGAGATAAGAGTCTCTAAGACTTTACTTCCTGGGCTGGCTTTGTACACTTATTTCAGATCTCAACATCCTAAATATCTAGGGTTACACAGGCATGAGCCACTAGCACCTATCAAGCCCTCTATTTATTTACTTACTTACATAGATTTACAAGGGTAAACAATGTGAAATATTTGCTTATGGACAATGATTAAAAAACAAAACTAAACCATAATTTCCTTCCCACCCTGGATATCATAACCTGAAGTTTATAAATGCACATTCCAAAGTATCATCTCATAAAACTTAGTCAACTGGTTAATTTATTCATCTGGCAAAAACATTTAATGAAAATCAAATACTTGGCTACTTAGGTTCTAAGCACTTTCACAGATTAACTAGACTTTACTATATTTATTTTTAAACTTCTCAACCCTATGAAGTCAGCAGAACACTATATAATTTCCATTTCACAAAAAGTAAAATAAACTCCAAAGGAGATATCCAAAGTCAAGTAATTAATCTAGTTAAAACCAAGATTGCCTAACACCAAGTTAAATTAACTGCACCAAAGCCATCAAAAGCCACAGGACCTCAATCAGTATACCACATTTCCCCCCAAATGTTATTTTTAAAATAATGTATGATATCTAAGTTTAGCAACAATGTAACACATGAATGACCTAATCTCCAATGTTGACTGTAGTGAAAATACAATGTAACCAAGGGGACAAAGTTTAAACTATTAAGGCCAGAAATAATAACCCATAAATTCTCTGTGGAATACAGAGATACATAAATTCTGTGTGCAGTACAAATACAACTAACAAATTTGAAGTTTACATGAGTACACAGGAGTCGATAAGAAAAACTTGGATATTCTATGCCTGACTCTTCTTTTTGGGAACTAGATGAGTATTTCTATAAAATGTAACTGTTCAGCAATTTATCTGTTCCTCTTTCATTACTCATATATATATATATATCATATATGTGATATATATATATATATATAATTTTTTTTTTCCTATCTGACACCTACTAATAACTTGCTAGGTTCACCACCAAATATATTGGCTATACACTGGATAATCAAAGGTAGAGAACAAATAGAAATAGGTACATCTTTTATTAAAAAAGAATATGAAGACCTGAAAACTAAGACAGCTTCATAGCCACTGCCTCGTATCCAGAGTATACATACCAAGACTACAGAGGATGCCTGACACTATGTTTACTACCAAAGCCTATACTATATACTATGCTTTTTCCTATACAAACATACTCATGATAAAAATTTGACTTATAAATTGGGAATAGTAAAAGAATTAACAAGAATAACAATAAGACAGAACAATTGTAACAGCATGTAATAAGGTAAGTTATATGAATGCGATCTCTCTTCAAGAGGCTTATTATACCAGCTTCTTACCAAAAGCTGAGAAGAGCTAACTGGACTCTTGGAAATAAATGGGGCTACAAATGTTTTTAATGTTTTTCCCACTGTGTGGCTTGCCTGCTTCCAATTGAACTAATAACCAAAATTATACCCTCCTCTCCCTTACCTTATTTCCTTCTCCATGAGTTGGACAGCACAGCAAATGCAATCCATGATAGGCCAGTTCTGCTATGTAGTTTGCTTCATTAAGATTTCTAAAGAAAAGACAAAATATTAGCTAATGGATTTTATGTGTGTGTGTGTGTGTGTGTGTGTGTGTGTGTGTGTGTGTGTGTGTGTGTGTTTGCTGGTCCTAGGGCTTGAACTGAGAGCTTGGGTGCTATGTCTTTGAGCTTTTGTGCTCAAGGCTAATGCTCTATCACTTGAACCACAGCTCTACTTCTGGCTTCCACCTGTGATCCTCCAATCTTAGCCTCCTGTGGAGCTAGGTTTATAGGCACAAACCACCAGCACCTGGGTAGCTATGATTTTACTAGGAATATTCCTTAATGCTATATGCCTGCTTTTCTCTCTCTCTCTTCCTCTTTCTTTTCTTTCTTCCTAAGATTCAGTCTCACTGTTATATAGCCTGACCTCAAATTATTGGATGCTAGCTATCCTCCTGCATCAGTTTCATGTGTCAGCTGGGACTACAAGCACATGCCACCTCACTAAGCTTCTGTAAGTCATCTTCAAATGAGTAACTTCTATTATTTGCCAGTTGACTAAAACAGCACTTATACTTCTGAAGCAAAAATTATTATATTGTATTTAAATTGTAGCACTGAAAACATTTAATGACTCACCTGGCTTGTGTAACATGAAATTCACGGGGAATTGGCTCAAAATTAGTTAATGCAACAAAGACCTGGAAAATGGACACCAAGAAAAGATCTCCATAAGTAGTAGCTATAGTCTACGCCCTCTGAAGGTACCCCAACGTTCCTGAAATTTTCACTTACCTCTACACAAGTCTGTACACACTGTGGCTTTTCTTTGAGAGAAAACTTGGGCAGAAGCCTTAAAAAATTCTTCAAAAGGTGAAATATGGCATTTCGAATTTGAGAAAGGTCCCGGGCAGAAAAATATATGCTTTCTTCATCTTCATCTTCTATAAGCTCATCCATCTGGATCACACACACACATACAAAAAAAAAAAAAAAAAGTATGGCTGAGCTAAGGAATAATACCTAACACTTTGTCTCATGGTTTGCAATTTACTCAAACCAGTTAAACTCCAGGTTTAACTGAGTTGTTCTGTACTGAGTTGTTCACACGATGTGGCTTTGACCAGGTCTATTGACTACTCTAGGTCTCCATGACACAGTGGTGAATAACTGGACTATATTCCTGTACAAGTAGTTTCTGCCTGTATATTTTCTGTCTCAATGAGAATTCATATAATTCTTCAAAATTTTCATGCTGGTAACCTTCTAACACCCTACTTTCTCATGCAAGAATTTGAAAATCACACTAATTATGTTCTTATGGACATGAGCCATAAGAACTTCAACTATCCTTTCTAGTGACAATAAGATATTGTGGCAAGCCAGGCTCCAGTAGCTCACATCTGTAATTCTAGCTACTCAGGAGGTTGAGATCTGAGGATTGTGGGTCAAAGCCAGCCATAGCAGGAAAGTCCGTGAGACTTTTATCTCCAATTAAACAGCAGAAAACTGGAAGTGGGGCTACATCTCAAAGCGGTAGAGCAGTAGCCTTAAACGAAAAAGCTCAGGGAGGCTGGGAAGGTGGCTCAGTGGTAGAGTGCTTGCCTTGCATGCATGAGGCCCTGGCTTCGATTCTATAGCACCACATAAGCAGGAAAAAAAAAAAGCCAGAAGTGGCGGTGTGGCTCAAGTGGTAGAGCACTAGCCTTGAGCTGAACAGTTGAGGGACAGTGCCCAGGCCCAGAGTTCAGGCTCAGTGGTAGAGTGCTTGCCTTGCATGCATGAGGCCCTGGCTTCGATTCCATAGCACCACATAAGCAGGAAAAAAAAAAAGCCAGAAGTGGCGGTGTGGCTCAAGTGGTAGAGCACTAGCCTTGAGCTGAACAGTTGAGGGACAGTGCCCAGGCCCAGAGTTCAGGCCCCACAACTGGACAAAAAAAAAAGCTCAGGGACAATGCCCAAGCCCAAAGTTCAAACCTCACAACCAACTAAAAAGGAGAGAGAGAGAGAGAGAAAGGGAGAATGTGGCAAATATACCAGTTAGTAAACTGCCAACTACACTTGAAAACAAGCCTTGGCAGGAGATGACTGGGAAGGTAGAAAGGTGGCAAAGCAGAAACATGCTCTGGTAGTACATGAAACCCAAAGGACATTTTTCAAATCATATGTATAGCAGAAAATATTTTAAGGATCCCTGAAACCATATTTCACGTAAAGTCAATTGTCAAACAACCTAAAATCTTGTGTTGGTATGCTTAATTATTTCACTTACTTCTTACCTCAGTATCATCTTTCCTAGGTGGTTTTCCTCTTTTTCTATTGCTTCTTGAGTTATCCTGAGAGTTCTTAGCTTGTTCTTTTTTCCTTTTCCTATTCAAGTTAGATTCCTGAGGCCAGCTCTTCTTGAGAATCTGAATGCACTTATCAAACATCACTGGGTGGAATATTTGATTGGCTACACTGCCTAATCATAAGGAGTAGAGAGTAAACAGGTTAGATGGTTTGGTTTTGTTTTGAGATAGTTTCGCAAGAAACTCAACCTGCCCTGAAACTTACCCTCCTCCTGACTCAGCCTTCCAATGCTGAGATTATAAACATGCACTACCACACTCCAGCTTAAGCAGTGTAGGTGTCCAGGTTTTGAAAGAAGTGCATAACAACAGACAAAAAGTTTAAAAAGCAGCCAGGCACTGAAGGTTCATGCCTGTAATCCTAGCTACACAGGAGGCTGAGATCTGAGGATCATGGTTCAAAGCCAGCCTGGTAGGAGTTAACCAACAGAAAAAAAACCTAGAAGTGAAGCTGTGGCTCAAGTGGCAGAATGCAAGCCAGCTTTGAATGAAACAGCTAAAGGACAGCACCTAAGCCCTAGTAACAGTGTGTGCACGCGTGCGCACATGCACACACACACACACACACAAACTATTGCAGTCACACAAAGTTATTACCCCAGGTGATATCTGTAGGATAACAGTTAATATTTGGCCCTGAGCAAGGTCATGTAAAATTGGCTTACTATATGAAAATCAACATAATATACTATGTCATTAAAATAGCAAACAAAAAAATCATAGTATTATCTCATATCTGCAGAAAAGCAAATGACAAAAATCTAATACCTTTTCCAAATAGAACACTTAGCAAACAAGGTATAATAAATGGATAAAGGCCATCTTAAAAAACAACCTTAACTAATGTCAAAGACCTGGATGTTCTCCTCCACCATCAGGGACAAGATGGGGATATCCACTCTTCATTTCTATTAGCCCTAGACTAGAAATTTTTGCCAGGGCAAGAAAATAAAAGGTGACAACACCAGAAACAAAAACTAAAACTGTAACTATTAACAGATGACTGATTTTGTTTTGAATAAAGAAAACCCTTGTAAAACCACTAAGGTTGCAGTATACAAGATAAATTATAATAATTTTTAAAAATTCACTTATATAGCTACTAATCATCAGAAATATAAATAAAGACAAGTGCTCCACAAGCTGTGGTATCACAGGCCAGCATGTGGGAAGTGAAGGCTGGGGTATTGTAAATTCCATGCTGGCCTAGGCTACCCAGGAAGATGCTGTCTCAAAAACAAACAAATTAAAAACTGAAAATGAAGTCAGGCACTGATGGCTCATGCCTGTAATCCTAGCTACTTGGGAGGTTGAGCTCTGAACATCACAGTTCAAAGCCAGCCCTGACAGGAAAATCTGTGAGACTCTGATCTCCACTTAATCGCTAGAAAACTGGAAGTGGTGCTGGGGCTCAAAGCAGTAGAGCACTAGCCTGGAGCAAAAATGCTCAGGGAAAGTGCCCAAGCCCCATGGCCACCACCACCAACAACAAAAAAACCCACCCAAAACTAGAAATAATTTCATTTATAAATAGTACTGAAAAAAATACTTAGGAATAAACTTAACAAAGTGCAAGAGCAGAACCCTGAAAACTATAAGACAGTATCAGAACATATTAAAGATTATGAATGAAAAGAAAAGGAACGGAAAGATATCCTGTGTTGATGGACCTGAAGACAGTGTGAAGATCATACTACTCCCCAAACTGATCTCCACATTCCCTGCAGAAATTCACATACAGATCTTAAAACTTACATGGAACTCAGAATAGCCAAAAAATTGTGAAACTAGCGAGTATGAAGTACCACAGCATGCCTACCACAAAGCAGAAACTCTGGTAAGGGAAGGGAAACTGATTTGTGTATTTATGTGTATGTGTGTGTATGTGTATGTATATGCATGGAGTACTGGTTTGAATTTAAGGCTTGTCAGGCAAACACTAAGCCATACCCTGAGCTATTTCTGCTTTAGTTATTCTTCAGAGATGCTACTGAGTGGTTGCCCAGGCCAGCCTGGACCACAGTCCTCTTACTTATGGGGATGACAGATGCATGCCTCTATAAACTTCTTTTTATTGGCTGAGATGGAGTCTAAGTTTTTGCCCAGGTTGACATTGAGCCACAATCCTCCTGATCTAGGCTTTCCAAGAAGCTAGGAATTACAGGTATGAGCCATTAAACTTAGCTGAAACTGGATTTAGAAAACCACAATATTTTTTCAGACAATCTAGTTACAGCTAAGCTATTACAGTACTCAGCAACTAGATTCTTCAGGAATTTATTTGAAAAGTCATTATGAAAGATTTAACAAAATAACATGAGTCAGAGGTCAGTGTTGAAGGCTTTAAGTATTTTTTTTCCTTTTCTCAAATTGTACGGAATATATCTTCAACCTTAATTAAAAATGTATTTCTGGAGAGGCGCTGGTAGCTCATACCAGTAATCCTAGCTACTCAGGAGGATGAAATCTGAGGATCATGGTTCAAAGCCAGACTGGGCAGGAAAAGCTCTGAGACCGTATCTCCAATTAACCACCTGAAAACCAGAAGTGGAGTTGTGGCTCAAAGTGGTAGAGCACTATCCTTGAGCAAAAAAGCTTAAGGATAGCACCCAGGCCCTGAGTTCAACAACCAGAACTGGGTGTTGGGGGGTGGTGGGGAAGCATTTCTGTAAACAATGACAAGTAGCAAATGGACTAATCTTATGATTTTTTTTTTCCAGTAAGAACTTTAGTTCTCTAGGTCTCTATGTTCCATTCTATTATCTTGAGTAGGGGTGGGAAGAAGGCTCTGCACTGCCCAGAGGAAGAACAGCCACTAAACTCTGACAAGCACAGTGACATGTAGAAAAGTGCTTTCCCTCAAGTGTTTCTGGTGAGGATTACTAGCAATGATCACACTTCCTTAACTAGAATCATAGTATTTTTTAAACATCCACAAGGGAGAGATATAATACCATGCTTCCTCACAGCAGCTTTTCTCAATATGATCAGGAAGTCAGGAGAGAGAGCAGTATCAGCATTTTCTTCTGGGTTTGGAAAGGGCATTCCCTCTCCTGAAGGACCTCTCTGTAACTATCCACATGAGCTTATAGACAAAGCCTAATCTCAGAAAAAACACACTCAAATAATGAAGAAGGGAAGACATCTTCCAAATACCCATAAGGTGATTTCATATAATCCTCAGAACCACTCCAGGTGATGAGTTCTCACTGCTTATTTAGTGAGAAAACAAATGGTAAGAATTAAAACAATGCAAGTAAGACAAAATGACAAAAGACTATCTTACCATCCTCTGTTATTCACAGGTAAGGTGGCTTCAGGATCACCCCACAGAAACCAAACTCTAAGGATATTCAAGTCTTTTATATAAAACGCTATACTACTTGGATGGTCCGTAAATATATCCTCTTACAATTCCTAACACAATGCAAATGCTATGTAATAGTTTCCACTTTATATTGTTTAGAGAAGGACAAAGAAACATATTACACAGTAGCAACAATGTAACATGTTTCTGTTCAAGCAATTTTTCCATCCACACATTCAGATCTAATGAACAGTGTCAAATATACAGATACCTGGTATTTCTAGTAGCAGAAAATAAAGCCCAGCAGCATGAAGGCCATATTCTCGATGCTGTACACTGACATTTTTCTTATGTGCTACCTGGACGAAGTGATAGAATAATGCCACCAGCATACTATGAGAAATATTGTTCTCAATGAAGAAGGTCCAAATGTTCTGGAGAGAAGACAAATTCCAAAAGCCAATAGTTAATAAAATGAAAAACATCTTGGTTGATTTTTACAAGTACTTAGTGTCTTAGAAAAAAAAAAAAAAAGAGTAGTAAGGTCTGGAGATGTAGCAACACAACACACACACACACACACACACACACACACACACACACACACACACACACACACACACACACACACACACACACACACACACACACACACACACACACACACACACACACACACACACACACACACACACACACACACACACACGGCCAGTCTGCCTCTCAATGACAAATGTCTGCCATCCTCAAAGAGATTGACACAAAAGATCAAGATGAAAATTTGTTATTCAAAATTACAAAGATAAATATATACAAGACATTTAATTAAATTTTCAAAAAATTGCCAAGTTTGAAGTACATATACTTCTGAAATTATCAGTATATAATATGCTAAGACTTTTGGAACACCCTGTATTAAGTGATTATACTATGAATGATCTCTCCATCTAACTTAAATGTACCCAAATCTATTTATCATTGATTAGTGAGGAAATCAGAACAATTTGCTGAAATTTAAATGTCCACAGATTAAGAGTAACGAAAGCAAGAAACACTGGGCAATTTCTTCTTCAATGGATTTCAGAAAGAGATTAGGCGAGAAAGGAAATCCTAGAACAGAAATTTACCAATCTTATCGTTGTCCCATACTTAGTCCTATTCAATGCATGACGATGACAGGCATTATTTTTATAAACTAAACATAGCTGGAACTACAGTTTATCCTCAGGCATCTTTTTTGGTTTTTTTGAGACAGAATTCACCATCCTCCTGCCCATCTTCCAAAGGACTGGGATTATAGGCTGGGAATGACTGACCAGCAAGCCACACAAGCCCCTGAGTTCAAACCCTAACTAACACCACTTATTCCTCCCCCCAAAAAGTACACAATGGAACTCACAATTTTTCCACTTGACCTCACCCTTTTTACCCCTTATTCCTCACTGTAGTTAATATCATCCTTCTAATGTTAAAATTTTAACTTCTTTCCTGCTTCTTCTTTTAAAATATATTTTTATTGTAAAAATACTGTATAGAGGGGTTACAGTTACATAAGCAAGGTAATGAGTACATTTCCTATCAAGCATCGTTACCTCCTCCTTTGTTTTTCTCCTACCATCCCTTCCCTCCCACCTCCACAACTACATTTCCACTCCTCTCCCCCCTCCCAGCCTAAACTGTAAAGTTCATTTTTCAACAATTGTCTTGTACATCTCATTGTCTTATACACAGTCAATTTGGCATTTTGTACCATGACTTAAATACCCAACGATTGCTTCTTAGTTTACAAAGCCTTATTAAATCTTAACTTAAAAAAATAAAAAATAAAAACACCCCCAAAGTATTTAGATCTTCCTTTCCGGTTTCCAAAACCTAAACTTCAGGCCACACCATTCACACTTATAACACCTACATGACTTATAATAGACTCCCAAGAGGTCTCCCTGTCTATATTTTCCCCACATCTGTCTGCCTGTGCTCAGGACAACACAATACTCAGTCTACTGCTCACCACAGCCTTTTCCACACAGAAGTATGAGTTAATATATCCATCATTTTTAGATAGAACCTCATACACAATACACAACCCCCACAAGTGAACCTCACTCAAAGCTACCCACAGTCAATTCTCAGTCTAGCTTAGTGTCTTACGTGCCACATTTTAAACACTTACTATCATAATCTCCTCAACATTCCCTGCATAATTCCCACTGTGGTCCCTTCCAAGAATAATCCTTAACCCTAACTTCTGCTAGTTCACATTCTACCCAACTAAGAAGACTTGCTTCTGGCAACTTTTATTATGGGAGCTGCAATCCAAGCACACTCTCTTTTCCAAAGCCTTATTTGATGATCTCTGTACCTCTTTTAGAGCACTGCTTAGCAAGTGATTCATAAAGTATTTCCCAGAGGTATTGTGCTTCCCCAACCTGAGCTGGTTGTAGTCACTACACTACAATGCTCTGGTCCAGGTGAGGCCCTTGACTGAGGAAGAATGTATTGTAATGTCAACTCTGTCTAATGCACTTAATGCAGTGCTTATTAGCATCATATTGAAGGACAGTTTAATCAGATGACTTAATTTTTAATCAAATATGTAAAATTTATAATTAATTCTTTTTGGAAAATTAAAAGCTTCAGAGATGTTGCTATCTAAAATTTTTTTATTCTGTTTCCTAGCCCTTTTGTTCTCCTGAAAGGGCTTCAACGGTCTAAGTATTGATAAACACACTAGGTAAAACTTAGTATTTAAAGGAACTCTGTATAAATCTACTGGTAATTTCATCGAATCATTTCTCAGTTTAGTAATAAATCTCCTGATGTTAAGGCATTCCTAGACTGTTGTTTACATTTTCCCTGGCCTTCTTTTCACTTTTGATATACCTAGTTTTCTTTTTTCTTTTCACTTTTATGCTTGTTCTTCAATTGGCTGTTGTGAAACATCATCATGTCTTGAAAATTAATCGTGAGTTCCTTGAGTCTTTTGGAGGAAAGCTATTAGGACAGTCCAATGAATCAACCACAGTCTCTATGTTATTCTTACTGTACTCTTTATGAGCTATGTACTATAACAGCTTAGAGTGTAATGACAGTCATCTTCTATAAACAGTTGGCTTCATCTTTTTTTTTAATTTTCTTACCTCTGAAGATGCATGTTCTTCAGTAGCAAAGGGAAAAAGACTTTCATAGAGATTTGTGAATGCACTCAATCCACTCTCTACGATCTCCGCCTCTATGTTGGGATCCAATGGCTCAGTCTCTGTGAAGTCCAGTTCCCATACTGTATCTACCCATTCTAGAAGAAAACACAATGAAATTAACAAGTACTTTAAAAAGTTAAAAAGAAAAAAAATTACCTCTAGACTCCAGACACATTCTACAGGAATAAATTCATAACTTAGACTTAACATTTCTGGTTTTCTTGTACTGGTACTAGGGTTTGAACTCAAGGCCTCAGTACTGTCTTTTAATTTCTCCTGCCCAAGGCTAGTATTCTACCACTTAAGCCACAGCTCTACTTCTGGCTTTTTGGTGATTAATTAGAGATAAGTGTCTCACAGACATTTCTGCATAGGCTGGCTTTAAACTGTATTGCTTAGATCTGAGCCACTGAGTAGCTTAGGGTTACAAGAATGAGCCACCAGCACCCTAGTAACACTTACTTATATAAGTAAACTATAACTAAAGGGAAGCAGTAAAAGCTGGGTGCTGGTGGCTCACACCTGTAATCCTAGCTATTCAGGAGGCTGAGATCTGAGGATCGCGGTTCAAAGTCAGCCTGGGCAAGAAAGACCATGAGACTCCTATCTCCAATAAACCACAAGAAAACCGGAAGTGGCACTTTAGCTCAAGTGGTAGAGCGCTCGCCTTGAGCTGAAGAGCTGAGGGACAGCGCCCATGCCCAGAGTTCAAGCCCCATGACTGACAAAAAAAAAAAAAAAAAAAAGGAAAGCAGTAAAGATTAAGCAAACCTCCTTTAAAAAAATTACAACTGCCAGGCACTGGTGGTTCATGCCTGCAATCCTAAGTACTCAGGAAGCTGAGATCTGAGAATCGCAGTTCAAAGTCAGCCCAGGCAGGGAAGTCCATGAAACTCTAATCTCCAATTAACCACCAGCATACTGGAAATACTGCTGTGGCTCAAGTGGTAGAACGCTCGCCTTGAGCTGAAGAACTCAGGGACAGCACCCAGGCCCAGAGTTCAAGCCCCACAACCGACAAAAAAAAAAAGTAAATAAATAAATACAACTGACAGCTAGCTATTAAGTTAATCAGCTAAAAGTATCAAGAAAGAAAATACTTTTTACATGTTACAGCTGGTTACCTTTAATGATCAAGATTCCCTATAAGGAGAATAAGGACAATAAGGAGAACCATCAATAATGGCCTCAAGGGTTTCCCTGTGAACATATCACAAACAAGTTAATAAATTGAAGTGAAACAGCACTTCATTGGGCCCTGGGAGGGCCGGGGGGGGGGGGGGGGGGGGGAGAATATCGTATGTTAAAATAAAGATACCAATCCTTGACCTTCAAGAAGTTGAAACTAGAGATAAGCCACCAAATTCACAGACTTACTCAAATGCCTGCCAAACACAGAAATGGGAAGGAGATACGCTGAGAAGGTGACACTGACACATTCTAAGTAGATTCTTTGCCAAGCTCTCAACTCTAAACTTTCGGATACCTTTTTTTTTTTTTTTTTTTTTTTTACAATTTTTTATTATCTTTAAGTGGTTATGCAAGGAAGTTCCCAATCTACAAAAGAGTATATGAATACAAAGTGTCTGATAACATTGTCACCCATTGCTCCTAACCCACCCCTTCTCTCACTTTTCTTTTTTTTTTTTAATTGATATTAGGTGATTGCATACATTTCACATATTTCACAGTATTGTAGAATAGTGATGCTTAGTTAAAGTCACAAACACATTTTAACCCTCACAAGGCAAATTGTCATTAACATGGTCTATAAAGTTTGTGAATTCTGAGCTTTGACAATTATTTCTTCCACATCAGGTGATATGTACATTTCCTTCCTTTTGCTTAGTGTAAGCTGTTCCTTCTTTCCCTCTCATTCCTCCCTTCCCATCACTGTATTTGGGTTGCTTAGTTCATTTTCATCTATGTCCAGCTGATGGGCCCATCTGTTGTACTTTCTCATACTTTTTTAAACAGCTATTTTCTTCAGGCTTTCCCCTACACATATAATTAAGACTAGTAAAAACATGTGGTCACATCGGACACATTATTAGCCTTCACATTATTCTTCACTTATTAGTCTTCATATTAATATTCTTTATTTGCTCACCACTAATTTAAAGTGGTTGAACAGAGTATGAATACAGAAAAAAAATAAAGATAGGAAACCTCCACCTTTATTTAAATGCAAAGCACTGCACTTAGCTAGATTATCCTCCTGAGAATATAATCTGCCCATAGTCTTTTGTCACTTGAGCTTGACCAAGAAAGAAGAATTCTCTTGTACTGCATGGCTTTGCAAGGAATAGGGATGGAGGGACACTGAAAAAATACAACTGTATCCTTCTGCATTATTGACATAAGATCAAAAATATCTTGATCCTTGTTTTATCCCCATTCATAATAGCTCATTCCTGTCAGTAGCATCAAATCTAATTTGGAAGGCAGTAACTGCTCTGACTTCATAGCCCTCATAAAAAGATATGTATGGCTTTGGCCATTTCTAACACTTCTGAGTCTTTACTACTTCTCCTATCAGATGTAAGTTAGTACTGCCTATCAATTTCACAAGAAGACTATTCTATTGTAAAAGTTTTCTAAAAGGTAAACTAGAAGATTAAGTTTACTAGAAGGCAAGCACTCAATTAAAAAAAGAAAGAGAAAGATCTAGTATCAGACAACCTAGATCATATATAGTGACTACTTTTATTTAGCTTTACACTTCTGTCAAATCATTTGATACTTTATACAAACCAAATCCCTCATTTTCTATTTTTCAACTGGAGAACATTCAAATAGAGATCATTCCTGTCCCACCTTCCTCACTTGGAATGGAAAAGGAAGAAGTATACTGTTTATTCATTCAATCAACATTTTATGAAAATATATGCAAAAATCTCTAGTGTAAGTGCTAGAAGATGAATGCTCCAGGTTCTTGTCCACAAAGATCTCATCATCCCACAATTATAATACTTTACATAGTAGTTTATGATTAAAAAAAAAGAAAACAAGCTTTGAGTGACATAGGACAAAGCTATTACACTGACTTGGTCACTTACATCGAATTAATCCCCTACTCCTCACTGGTAAACAGGATTCTTGTGAAAGACAAGATGCTAAAAGGTTCAGATTTAAAAATAAAATAAAAGGTCCAGATTTAAAAAAAAAAAAACTCACTATTACTTTTATAATGGATGGATGTCACAACAGTTATACAAACTGTAAAATAATGAAGTCTAAATAGGGACGGAAAAGCAGGGAGGCACATCTTAGAAATCACAAAAGAATGAAGGTACAAAGTGTTTGGAAATAAAGAAGAGTCACAATGTAAAAGTTTCGGCTGGGAATCAGACTATTAGTAGTATTTGCTCAGCAGTTATTTTGTGCCAGAGCACTAAATTCACTTCACAAAAGCCATGTAAGGTAGATATAATAACTCATTTGACCGATAAAACCAAAGCATAACAAGGTGAAGCAACTTGCTCAATGATACTGATGCTATGCAAAAGAAAGTACGGCTGAAGCATCTGTGACCAAAAGTTACGGGGAGAGCAGGCTGCAGAGAATGGGGAAGGCTCCTAGGGTAAACCGTGACAGTTAACACCAGAAAGCAGCTGAGATACTCTGCAATGGTCCTGGGTGTCTATAGGGCTTGGAGCTGGGCACCAGTTCAGGAATGCAGACTGAACGCAGGACACTTGTGATAGAGGTGCATGAAAGGAGATGCAGAGATGCCATTAACTCTCAGGTTTGTGGCTTGGGTGATGCTATTAGCTGGCTTTGGTAATCCAAGTTTTTTTCAAGTGACATTTGATGATGTCTGCGTATAAGACATCTATCTCCCTGAACGAGGGACTGCGAAATTTAAAAAAAAAAAAATAAGCCTAGCAAGAAAGAGTTGGGTGTCTTTTAGAGATACCCAAATAGAAATATCCAGGAAGACTTGACAGAATAAAGAAGCGGTGGGCGGGGAATACAACATATACACACATGTTGTAAGAGCCAACCAACATTAGCTCTTTTTTCTTTTTTATAAACCCGTTACTTGACTGGATTGAGCCTCTAAGGTTTAAGGCGGCTGGCCACGATTCTGGCGTGTCACAGCCCTGGGGATTCACAATGCCTAGAGGGGCACCCTCACTCTACCCCCACCCCCAAGCGGGCTGAGATACCACTGGGGACACAAAGCACCCCAGCCCTTCTCCCCGGGACCCGCAGCTGCGTCTCCTCACCGAGGTTGAGATCCACCGGGCACCAGGGCTGTAGGCCGCTCCCTAGGCCCCGCAGCGCCACCATGATACCGGAGGAACCGGCTCCCCTCCGCCAGCCACAACTTTCAAAGCTCGCTCCCGCGCGCGCGCCGCGATGTTCCTATGGACCAATCATAGCGTACGGAATTTATAATCGACCAATCACGGTGCCCACCTAGTTTCATTCTCTCAGCCAATGATCTAGGTCGACCGTCGCAGGCCCAAAGAATGGGGCGGGGCGAAGACGAGAGGCTAAACAAGGTTCTCGGGTGCATTGTTTTTCTTTGGCTTGCCCTTGAAATGCGGACCCAAGAGCTAAGTTGAAGCTATCAGGCTTTAACTTCATTCCCGACTCGTTTTTCTTAAGTGGGAATAGGTGTAGAGACAGGTTGAAAGTACTTCCTGTCATCTTTGCTGCCCGTCAAGCGACGTTTCTTGTGCGTGTCAAAGGGTGTCGCGTCAGGCAGCATTCGAATATTGTGCAAGTCTGAATGTGGATGGTAGCCAGAAACTCAGCTAAGAGGGCAAGGAGGAAAAGCAAGCAAACCCATGCCGAGAGGACATCAGTAGTTGTGATTTATGGGATGTCTGGGCCCGAATTCGACTGGAAAGAGGCGGGGGCTGCCATGTCAACTAAGGGAGAGAGAGAGGGGGAGGAGAGGCCGCCTTCCCACGGTGCACATGCGCAGAGAGCACACCTCCTGGCAACCTGGAGGCTAGAGAGCCAGAAAATGCTGTGCGCATGCGCCTGGCATCTCCAGCGCATCCGGGCTGGAGCTCGCCGGCCCCCTCCCCCGCCCGCAGCTTCCGAAGCACCCTCGGTGCGTTGCACCGCCGGAGGCTGGGCAGCTCGCTGTGCTGCTCGGCGCTGGACCCCGCCCGGTGGGCACGCACGCACACGGCCCTGCACTGCTGCCTTCCTCAGCATTGCACGGCTGACCCTCGCCTCCTCCCTGCCCTGCAGCCGGCTACCGGGGTTTGCTCAGGACTGGCGACGTGCGGTGCATTGCTCCTTTGAGCGTTGCTGCTCGGGGCGCTGCAGCCCGCAGCCGCCTGCCTCCCCCGTCCAGCCCCTCCCCAGGCAGTCGGTCCTCGCCCACCGCCCGGCGCAGCAGCAGAGCCGGGCTGGGCTGCGGTGCGGCCACCTAGCGCGCTCCCGCAGCGGGCCCTCTGGCCTTCCTTCCCTTAGGGCAGCCCGCGCCTCGGAGGAAGGGAGCTGTCCTTAACTGAGACCAGAGGGGCCCGGCGGTGAGATGAGCTTCTTCGGCTTCGGGCAGAGCGTGGAGGTGGAAATCCTGCTGAACGATGCGGAGAGTAGGAAGCGAGCGGAGCACAAGACTGAGGACGGGAAGAAGGAAAAATATTTCCTCTTCTACGACGGGGAGACAGTCTCCGGGAAGGTGAGCCTTTCCCTCAAGAATCCAAACAAGCGGCTAGAGCACCAGGGCATCAAGATCGAGTTCATCGGGCAGATCGGTGAGTTGACCCTTGGAATCTTCCTCCCCCAGAGCTGTCAGAGAGCCTGGGCATGGCACTGGGGAGGGCGGGGGTGGGGGGAAAGGGGGGTTTCAGGACAGGGAAGCTGGAATGTTTGAGGGCCCAGCTCAGATGAGGCCTGTCACAGGCTCTTGTCAACGGCAGTCTGAAACTAGAGGGGGGGGGGGGGTGTCAGCCACAAGTCTCGCCCGTGGGCGAGTCCCCTAGCGTTACTGCCCTCCCTGCCAAAAGTGACAGCTCACAACTGGGAGATGGAGACAGAGGACGGGAGGAAGCGCCCTGCTGTGAGGTTGAGTGGGCACCTGGCCCCTAGATATCTTTGTTGACTCTTTAACACATGATCAGATTTGCTTCTTGACCCAGGATTTCCCAGTGAGGTGCTCTGGGACATAGCTTGCAGGTGGGTTTGTTAGGGGAAGATCTGCTCTTCCCATAATGACTTTCCCATCAACTGGACATCTCAGCTGTCAGACCCTAAATTAAGCTGTGCCCCCACCCACTCTCTTTTTTCTCTTGAGATAAGGTCTGAACTACCTATTCTGTACACGTTTTGGCAGAGAAAACCTATAATCTGCTTCAATCTGACTGCGTACCTACCTACCCTATATTTCTCATACTTCCTTATTAGAATACTAGTCATCAGTTGTCTCGTTGTTTTGTGTTTTGTGTTTGGTTGGGTTTTTTTTGTTTTTTTTTGCCTTAAAGACAAAGAAAGGATATATCTAAAATCACAAATAAATGATCAGAATTTGCCAACGTTCAATGAAAGTCTTCAAACCTAGCTACTAATCATTAGAACTAGACAACAAAAGGCAGTAATAATAAAGATTTGGGGAACTGCCCATCAAGATTGGATTTTCTTCGTCTAAGATTATTTGGAGTCTTAGGTGTTATTAAAGTGCTCTAAAAGAAGTCATTTGTGTCATGAGGTCAGGAGGAGCATCACAGTAAACACCTCATGGGCAGCAAACATATTGAACATATGGCATGGTTTTAGACTTCCTTGGGAAAGCCTGTTAAGCTCTCTCCTGTCCTGAGTGTGTAGCAGAGCATTTGTTCTCCATTACAAACACTCAGGAAACACAGAGACACAGGAGGAACCTTGGAAAAGAAGTCCTGGTAGCCTGATTCTGTGGTACTGTGTTCAACCATACGTTATTTTGCCCATTAGTATTTGAGAAAATGAAATAAGCTTGAAGATTGGCTGATTGCAAAGGACCTTTTGACTGTTATTTGGAAGCCAGAATAGGAGAGGCCTGATATCGTCCCAGAAAAGGGCTTGGAGAGCAGGTTTCATGACTTCTATCTATTGCAATTTTCTTCTGTTTTCCTGCTCCTGGCTTAGATGGCAGGGCTCCTCAGAAGCAATGATGTTAACATTTGGAGCTGGATAATGCTTGGTATCTCAGGATGTTTAGCAGCATTCCCCACCCCTACTGACCAGACACCAGTGGCATTATCCACTGTGACACAAAAACATGAAATAGTGCCTTCTGTACTCTGGAGGATAAAATCACTTTTAGACAAGAACCACATGGTGGTTGGAGAAAATCCAAAACATTTTATATCAACCACAACTATATGGAATAGTAGAAAACACTCACATACTAAGAATTGGTACTTTTAAATTGGAGTTTTAAAGTTAATTCTTTGGCACCATAATACCATAATGTCCACAGCTATGCTCGGTCTGGATCCTACATTATCGCTCCCATGTGGAGGTCCCTTGCCAGCATATAGAAGATAATCTAGAATGTCCTCTGACCCAAATAGTGAAACTAGATGGAATGGTGTCACCCTCTAATTATCTAAATAGAAAGGTAGCCGAGGAAGCCAAAGACTATACCTGGCCCACTTGGCCTTTTGTCTAATTTTAAGACATCATCTTTTTTTGTGTGTGCTGGTCATGGACGTGAACTCAGGCTTGGGCACTGTCCCTGAGCTTTTGTGCTCAAGGCTAGCACTCTACCACTTGAACCAGAGCCCCACCTCTGGCTTTTTGGTGGTTAATTAAAGATAAGAGTCTCACAGACTTTCCTGCCCAGTCTGGCTTCAAACCGTGATCCTCAGACCTCAACCTCTTGAGTAGCTAGGATCACAGGCGTGAGCTGTCAGTTCATAGCTTTCTAAGGCGCCATTTTTTTTTTTTTACTGGATTTCTTTTCAGAACTTTCTGTTGCTTCTTCCTGGGCTTTACATACACTGGGCTGAGTTGACCAAGAGACTTGGAAAGTTTTACAACTTTCTCAGTTGTAAAACAAAGATAATAAAATGTTGAGCATGTTAAAAAAATCATGCCTCATGCCCTGTATAGAAGATTCTTTTATTGAAAATGATAGTAGTTAGTGTTATAACTCTCCCATTTCACAAATTCAATCACTGATTTACTGCTTTTCCCCTGTACTCTTATATCTTCCCAATAAGACTGCTATACATAATTATAGGGAATTCACATTTCAACCCTATTGTCTTAATGTTCTTGCTTATGCCGCATGGGCCAGTCATAACTAATGTTGCATGAGGAACCAATCTCATTTGTGTGCTTCAAGTATATAGCTCACTATCCATGATTGAGTAAGAAAATGGTATTGGAAACTGGGTGTTAATGGTTCTCTCCTGTAATCCAGCTGCTCAGAAGGTGGAGAGCTAAGGGATTGTGGTTCAAGGCTAGCCTGGACAAACAGTTAGTAAGCCTTATCTTAATAAGTAGGTTAGGCACGTTGGCTCACACCTGTAATCCTGGGAGGTGTAGGTAGGAGGATGACAATCTGAGGCTGGCCCTGGGCATAAATCAAGACTTAATCTGAAAAAAAAAAAAACAGCTAAAGCAAAATGGGCTGTGGACATGATTCAAGTCGCTAAAGCAAAATGGACTGTGGACATGATTCAAGTAGTAGAGTGCCTAAGCCCATGTTCAGACTCCAGTATTGCCAAAATGAAAGAAAAAGAAATGGCAGTAGATTAAGATGGATGGATACATATTTTATTAGACTTTGAGATATATTTCTTAATCAAGAATAAGATATTGGAAAAATCTTCCTATCTGGAGGTGTGACTCCTTGGTAAAGCATCTATATAGCAACCCTAAGGCTCTGGGTTCAACTCTCAATACCACTTTTTAAAAAAGAAAAAAGTATATCTATCCAGGTTTGGTAGTAAACATCTACGATCCCAGCACTCAGAAGTCTTGAGGCAGGATGACCAAGGCCAGCCATGGTCTTACCAAGTAAGACTTTGTCTCAAAGCCAGAAGAAAACAAAACCCTTCTATTTGCATTTGATATAAAAAGAAGTTTGTATTCACACTGATATGAAAAGTACACCAGCCTGTTTGGAGGCGAAAAGCCACTTTCCTTAGGCAGTTCAATTTCATTGTCATCCTCCTAGTTCCACTAAAGAATCAGGAGACACACCTTAAGACAATCATAAAACTGACCTAAGGGCACTGGAGCAAGACTCATAGAGAGCATTGCTAAAGTTGTGGTTCTGTGGTTTTCTCCTTCATTGCATTCTTCCACTGAGTATCACGTGGGTAGAACTTCTGTCAGGTTCTGGCGGCTGGCTGTATGGCATACAAGGCTAAGAAAACCATCAGAGTTTTATCATCCTTCCTCACTGATTTTGCCCAGGAGTTTTCGAGGAGGTCGAACTTTTTGCCCTTGTCTTTCTCTATAACTTGCCCTTCCATTCTCAGTCATACCTCTAACTTCAGTGTCGGATGACTCCCATACTGTTTCTTCATCCTGATTGGAACTACACAGCCATCTTTCTAGCTGCCTGCTGGGCCTGTTAACCTGGATACCCCACAAGTGCCTGAGTGACTCACCCCAAGGTCTAACACCCCTCTCTACTTCTGTTGTCTCCATCTTGGTCTATGTCACCTGGATCAGTTTAAACACAGAAATCCAGGAGTCTTCTTAGGGCCTTCACTCCTTTTCCCATGTTCTCAGCTGGTCTCTAACAGCTCTGTGATGTGTCCTTAATCTGTGCTGCTCTCACCCTCCAGGCTGCACCCATTTATCATGAGGTCTTCTCCTTGAACCTTCCTACCTTTGTTTCCCCTCTCCCTCCATCTTCTGTAAGGATAAAAGGATGAACTTTCTGATATTGCCAGTCTTCCCCTGAAACTTCTTATCTGGCTCCCTCCTGGGTAGAGGGGAAGGTACATTTATGTTCTTCCTGAGTGGGTCCATGCTTGTCTTTCTAGATTCATCTCTCCCTAAACATTCACCACTACCACCTGTAGCTTCCTCAGAATAATTCTGTTCTGCACAAGGCCATGAGTTCAAAGCCCGGTACTTTTAAAAAATTCTTTTTTTTTTCTAGAATCCTAGTATCCTCCCTTTGTATATGAACAGCTTTCTGCAAGTATGACCTTTCACCTAAGTTATTAGTCATCTATCAAAACCTGCAAATATCACATCAATCAGGAAGCCGTCCTGGCTGCCCCAGACTGACTTAAGCACTTCCTCTACTATTCTTCCAAGCCTCCTTGATAGTTCTTTTCAGCAATCGTCTGACTTCCTCCCCCCAAAGCTGGAAACTGCCTTCAGCACATTATTAGTCTGGCGGCTAGTCTAGCACACAAAAAGAGGCTCCATAAATGTTTGATAAGTGGATATATTGGTCAGATCTAAGAATTTACAGAAACCATTCTCTGGAATTCCTCCCCCCATTTTCTCCTGGAGCCCATTATTTTATTATTTTATTCTATTTTAGTGCTGAGAGATGAACCCAGGATATGAATATGTACCAGGCTAGCACTCTTCTACTAAGTTATATCCCCAGTCCCCAGTCACTTTGTTGGCCGGAAAGGAGAAAGTAGGTTGCATGTCTGGTCTCTAGTACATATCAGGGGCTTCCTGCTTGTACATGGAGGGAAGGCATTGCTAAAGCTGATGAGGTGTAGCTCTCAATCAAAGCCACTGAGAGCCTAGATAACTCATGACCACCTTGCCCTCACCATAGCAGCATCCTTCC